CATTATCCTTCCTTCCTTTCTATCGAGAGAGGGATATATAAACGTGTGTTCTGTATTCGAACAATGCGATTGATGATAGAAAGAAATAAAAAAAGACATGGTTCCATCGGGATATACATCTCTTCCATCAGAAATCGTCACAAACACAAAACAAAAAGCAGAAAAAAAAAGGAAAAAATAAAAGTTGATTACACGAATATTCTAATCAATACACGCGACAATTCGAGTTGACCAACAACATATCATTCTATTCGACATTATGAAAATAATTTTCACCAATAGTCACTAGTATTGATATGTATATTTGTGAAAGAACAATTCGATTTATTACATTGAGCAATATGAAACATTTCAATATTTTCATTTTCAATTTCAAATCCATATAAACGATTTCCAAGTGAACTAAAAACAAACAATTGATTGTATTGTTATCATCATCAAAATCACAAACCAACAATAATGGAAACAGAAAAAACAAAGGACGATTATACCAGCTGAAGTTAAAATCGTAAAAATACTTTCAATCCAAGGCCAATCTTTTTCTTTCGCTAAAAAAAAATCCTCACTTTTTAAAAAATTTCCAACGATTCAGAAAAAATATACATACGGTTTTCTTTTGATTTTGTTGTCGATCTTTAAACAAACGGATATAAATATATCGAACGAGAAAACAGTTAATAACTGAACTTACGTTGTATTTGTCATGAAAATTGATGAACTAAAAAATGTATTATTCGATTCAAAAAGGATTTAATGAAACACATACATTGTTGATGTAATAGCCGTTGTACGTCTAAAATATTTTGTTGATTATTAGAATGTATACAACTAAAATTATCGTACGTGGTACTTGTTGTTTCGGTCGTCATAGTTACAGATGTTGTGGGTCTAAATAAAATAAAATTTATCAGTTAAAGCAATAATTACAGAAGAACCATATACGTCGTCGTTGTAGTTGTCGTAGCACTTGTTGTTGAACTGAAAATTAATTTATTGTTCATCCTCGTTATAAATAGAATAGCATATTCGAAGAGACATACGTGAATATTGTACTTGTGGCTGATGTACTCGTTGAAGTTGACAAAATACTAATAAAAAATTGCTCTTTTTTGTGAAACAAATCTTCCACTAGTTTAAGATTACTCACCTCGTTGTTGTGGTTCTGAAAAAATCAAATTCTGACATGAAAAACGACAACGAAAATAGAATGATGTAACATACTCCGATGTTGAAGTTGTACTTGTTGTTGTAAGGCACGGTTCCCCTGGACACGCACATATAGGATTGTCTGTTACAAAGAGCTTGAAACAATACTGTGCTGATTGAGAATTTTTGCTACAAATGAAATATGTATATTCATTTTAGTTTTTCTGCCATTCAAATAAAAACAAAAACCTATCGAATGCCATGGCACACATCACTTGATAACCCAGTTGTGCACTAGTTGGTGTCCATGTCAAATTTTTATAATACAACGATGAATTCACATTCACAAGATTTCCTTTAATCATATTTGTAAATGAAAGCGTGGCAATATCTTGAATGACAACAGGTGAAGGACAATAATTTACTGCAAAGATTTGTGATAGAAAAGTTTGACCAACACCAATGGCGATACAAGATTGTTCTTCTGGTATACCAATGATTTCTGGTGGTGTTGGACATGTTGGTGGTGCAACAACATGAACAAGAAATTGAACAGGTACTGAACTCAATGGAGTTGAACTGGATGTACTCGTGAAATCTTCGACCTACATATTTAAAAACTCAATTACTTGAAAACAAAGAAATCAAAGAAACAAAACTAACCATGACTGTGACAGCATACCAAGAATCCAGTATTGTACCTGTAATGATCATTGTACAATTAGGATAGATCACGGTACCTGATGGAAGTGAACCAGGTGGACAAACATCTCCACATTCATCAACTCCACCACTTTTTGTTGACCATCGACATCGAAGATCATCACCATCAGCATCACCAACAGGAATCTGAATAACTGTTTGAGTATTTTGAGGAATATTGATAGGAGACATCATCGTAGCTACAGGTGCATTGTTATATAGACCTGTATCTGATCTTTTCTTCAAGTTAATATGTGCAGCTATGGACCAATCTGCAGAAGATGCTGTTTGTAATGGACGCCAAGAAGAGTCTTGAAACGCCACCCAGAAATCATCGTTTGCAGATAGATTAACAATATCTGTCCGTTGTGCAACCGAAGTGTCGACAGAAGTAGAAAAGTCAGTACAACGAGGAAGAACACTAATATTCGAATAACCAGCTGAACTCGAACCACAGTTGGAAATACAATCCAAAGTTTCAGAAGAAACACCTGCATATGATGGAATGTAACCACTTGAACCTATTAAACTATTACTACATGACATATAAGAGTATGTCCATGAATAAGTTTGAGTAATAGCAACAGCAATGGGTGATCCAGTAGCGGATGCATTCACAGGTTTCCATGTGATTGTTCCACCAAGAAAATGAACTGCATTCAAAAGTGGAAACAAATCCAAATAGATCCAAAGTAATAATAGTTCTTTCATAAGTACGAAAATTCGGTTCGTTGTTTGACAAATGAATACAGAATAAGAACTGTTTTGATTGAATTTTAAGTCGAAAAAAAAACAACGAATTTATATTTGGATACTCTTAGTAATGTTGAAAATATAATACAAAAACAATTTGTTCTTTCTGATTAAAATTCCTTTGTAAACATATTCTTCAATTTTCTGTTTGATATTTGCCGAATTAATAAATCATAAAAAAGATATTTCAATCCTAAAGAATTTCAAAAAGACTTTCTCACGAACTTATTGAAATATGATATTTGAAAGAGCAAAACATAGATTTGTAAGAACATAATTTTATAAGAGTTAGAAACAATTGATCTGAATGATAATATTTCATTTTTCCTGGAATACATTGATTACCCAAATATCAAAACATTGAGTAAATTGAAAAAGCCTTCGAAAAAGGTTTCTTGTTTTGATTAAAGATTATTGAAACTTTCATTCATATGGCGTGATCAATTTCATAACACAATGACATCAAATTCAATAAAAATTCTCAATATTTCGTTTCGAAGAATTTTCAACAATGTGAATTCATGATCATACATCCATTGATTTTCCTCAAACAACTATTAATAGAGATATTTTCATACTAAAGATCAAAACACTTCAATACATTGACTTCTAATTTTTTTGTAAAACCTCTTTGTATTTATATTGATTTGTCACTCAGGTCACTGTGACACCAGACAGCATTATTTATCATTGGAAAGTTTTGCATAGGAATGACGTCTCTTAGTAAAAGAACGTCAGAGAGTTTATATATGAGACCAAAAGAAAAGTGTTCAAAGAATATCTTATGCATAATAATCCCCAAAGAAGAAGATAAAACAAGAAGGTCATCTATAGATGAAAAATATTTTTAATAGACAACGATAGTACATCGGTCTCGCGACAATTTTTGTATCTTCTTCTTCTTCTTTTTTTGATTGAAATTTATCGTTAGGTGAAGTATTATCTTCTTTTTATATTTTCCTCGCAAAGTCTCGAATAAACCAAAAAGTCAACACAGTTCATATATTAAAAAAAACAAAAAATATTGTAAAAGTGAGACTATTACTCGTCCCATTATTGATTCAACGGTCAAAAAAGCGTATAAAAGCGAAAATACAGATCATTATAAGAAGACGAAAGTGTGATAAACCAATATCAAACAAAACTTTAATTTATCATTACATATTCAATGTGAAAAATTTGAAGAAACTTCCATTTTTTTTTCTTGAAATTTTTCATGATTATTTTTTCCAAAACTTCGTTCTAAAACTAAAAATCAAATCGAAATCGAATTCTGAACAAAGTTCATCTGATTATGATCCTGGAGAATTATTGTTAAACTCTTCGTTTTTTCTCTTAAATCAAAATAATGTATTAACAGAACAATCTTTAAATTCTTCTATGAGTTTTTTGTGTATCCAAATGAACAGAAGTCAAATTTAATGAAAATTTTTAAATCGTATTTTCTGTTTGTTCGAACACAAGAAAAAAACAGTTGGATAGAACGTATGAAATGAGAGAAAATACTTATAACTGATTGTGTTTTAGTAAGGAGAAAATTGATAAGATGATTTGAAGTTGAAATGAATGAAAATATAGTGAAATGAAATTTTATCTGATTGAACTGATCAATCTTTATTATTAAAATCAAGATAAACAATCACAATTGAATTTGACAGAGTGCAAATAACATCAAAACGGAATGATTTCAATTGAAACTAAAATCTTTTGACAGATTTATCTCATATAAATCAATTTCACCTGTTTTTATTATGTAATTTTCTCATGAGAACACGATGAAAATCGTTTATTCATGAATCAATCCAACGGGAAATCGGATTTTCTCTGTTCTAATCAAATCTATTCTCTTCAACTGAGATCAAATGAGATTATTATTGAAAATCATTCATTGGTAAATGTTTAAACGCAAGAAAAATCATTTAAAAAACTTCTTTATTCTCCATTGAACATCGGTCACAAAAAGACGAAGAAGAAATTTCTTTCTTTCCTTTTCTTTTCTTTTCTTTTCACACTTGTTTGTTACATTGATCGGTCGAACAGTTCAACATATACCTTTGACTTCTTCTCTTCTCTTTTTCTTTCTTTCAATTCAAACTGGACACGCAATTTGAAACGAGAGAAAATGAATCTAATGATTTTGAACATGTCACAACATTATTCGGAATGTCTTTGTTTTCTAAAGAACTTTTGTTTTATTTTCAATTGTTCGATGATTTAATGAGCAACTTTTGTCTTTTTGTAGGTTAAGCATCAATATTGAGAGAAGGATTTCTTATTGACCTTCATATGTTTTTTAATGAGAATTTGTATTTTTGTTCGAATTCAATTCATTATCGTGGTCAATATCAAATAACAAGTAATACTTTGATTTGTGTATATGAATGTCTTTGTGTCATGTAATATTTCATTGATACAATCGTTCGTTTTTCTTTTTACTCAAGGGACAATTTTTCTCACATATGTTTAGAAGATCTCTCGACCTTCTTTTTGTTCTCAATCGTTTTTTCTCTTCTTTTTCTATGATATGTTCAAGGTTTTAACTCTCTTTTCATGCCAATTCACAGATGTGATAATGAGAACAGGTCACAATGTTATTATCTGAAAAAAGATTACATGAGAAAAGACCTTCAATGTAGTCATTAATGAATTGTTGAAGAGAAAATTTAAGATGAGTTTATCAAATAAAAGAATAAATGAGAAAGACATGTTTCTTATAAAAATCGGATTGTGAAGGATAAGTGTGTTGTTGAATTGACCATCACACTTTCTTTCATTGAATTTTTATTTGTCTATGTTTCATACTTCGTTGTAGAGATGCGTGACAGTCGATCGGTCATTCTTTTCTTTCGAACATAAACATCACGTACAACGAAAAGATGAGAATTGTTTTTGTTGATCATATCTTTACATGTTAACTAAACGAATGTCTTTTGTCTTAAATATCGGTCAACAAGGATGTTTTCTTTGAGAAAGAATTCTTTTCTTTGAATTGTTAGGTTAAGTTCATTCTTCTTCTTTTTTTGTTCACCTTCAGAGANTAAATAAAATCTTATCAGAAAAAAGAAAAAAAAAAGAATCAGATTACAATAAATGTATGTTCGGGGACGAGATTTATTCAGAAAAAAAAAAGAAATTGTTCAATTCATTGATCATTTTCAAAATGGAAGATTAACACGTAAGTTTCGATATCATTTCATATTAACATAATGAAGATTCGTTTTCTGTTGAATCGAAAAGAAAAGAAACCTTGGAAAATATTTTATGCATATCCATCTGTCATTGAAGAATGTGAAACCATAAATATTTCTCGGTTTCATTTTTCTTTTTTGTTCAAATATCTCTCTTAATTAGAAGAGGGGCAAAAAAAAAGCAATCGTCTAGACAAGTCACATTGTCGATGTGTACATTGATTGAACATTCGACTATACTCAAATGTTTATATAATCATTTCTTTTTAGATGATGAAAATGGAAAGTGAACGAATTGAAAAAAATCATCAAGATGAAAAAGATGATAGTGGAATTGAACAAGATAATAGTTTCATTTACATTCGAATATCAGTTGAAGATCATAATCTTCAAGTAATTTTGCATTTTCTGTTCTTTTAATAAGACAAATTGGAATTTTTGTTTTTTTAGAAAGTGTTAAAGTTCAATTTCGATGATACAGTTTGGAGTGCAAAACAAAAAGTTTTACAAGTTCTTATTCGAGTAAAGTGTTTTTTCTTATAAAAAAAATCTCGACTTTCTTCTTCTTCTTCTTAAGGAATTAACGGATCCATTGAATTTTGGTTTATATTTACCGCCTTGTAATGGTCGTGCGGGAAAATTTCTTGATGAATCTCGTTGTTTAAGAGAATATCCACTTAATGGACCTGTCAGTTACTTAGAAGTAAGATCTCAACAGGAGAAAAAAAATTTTTCAATTCCTTTCAAAATCAATTTTTTTAGTTCAAATACAAACGTCGTGTTTATAAATCAATTCATCTCGCTCAAAAGAATATCAATTTGAAAGTTAATCTGAAGAAATTCATCGAATCAGTGAAAAATAATCAAATTTCGAAAGTATCGAGATATTTAGAGAAAGGTTTCGATCCGAATTTTCACATTTCTGATGATGGTGAGTTGAACAATGTTTATTTAACAAATAAGACACAATAGAAATGCTTTAGGCAAAAGATGTCTGATTAAATATTTGTCTGTTTTATCAAATAGATGAAAAATAAAGTTTCTTTTTTTGATTGATTTTAGAAACTCCATTGTCTATAGCGTGTGTTGATCTTCTGGAACCTCGATCAATGATATTAACTTTAGTTAATGGTGGTGCACATTTAGATTTTCGTATTCGTAATGGAGGTTTGACATCTCTTCATAAATCTGCGATTTGTAATCGAAAAGAAGCAATTGTTGTAAGTCTGAATTCATTATTAAATAACAAAAAAAAAAGAATTCTTTGTTTTGAAAGACTTTACTCGAACTTGGTGCATCTCCAAATGTTTATGATGAAAAGAATTTAACTCCTTTATATTACACAATCTTAAATAAACAAATTGAAACAAATAATGATTCGTCATATTGTTGTTTATTGTTATTACAAGATCATTCGATATTAAATTGTCGGGATGATAATTCATCGACAGAATTGCATCAAGCTTGTCGATTTGGACTTATTCAACATGTTGAACATTTACTTTTCTTTCGTGCAGATATAAATGCAATAAATCATGGAGGAAATACTCCTTTACATATCTGTGCAGCGACCAATCAGGTATTTGACTCATCAGATTTCATAGATAAATAACAAAGATGAATTCGTTCTCTTTCGAAATCATTGGGCGTTCGTTTCGTCTTTTTTGTTTTTGTCAAATATTGTTTAAGGATTATCGATCTTTTTTCTTCGTGTAGAACTAAGAATCGATGATAAATTAGGAAGAGTTGAATACTTAGTTGTGTGTATATTTGTTCGATTCGTGATAGGCGGAGAAGAGAGAGAGAAGGAGAGAAAATACGAAACATTTTGCAATTTTTATGCAATGAAAATGTCGTCAAAGAGTAACTAACTTGATATTATCTATTTATTTTCAGGAAGTTTGTGCTCGTATTCTTCTCTATCGTGGTGCAGATATAACTATTGTGAATAAATCGAATCAAACACCTTATGAACTTGCATTGATCTCTGAAAATCATTCAATTGCATTATTAATTCAATCACATAAATCAGAGCACGTTGTTCCATTTTGTGAAATACCTTTAATTAATCCAAAACGTCGTTCAATTTATCTTGAACATCAACGAAATAAACATCGAACACGTTCTTCATCAAATACAACACCATCAACATCTTCTTTAGCTAGTCGATCTCAAAGTATGCCGAAATTCTTAACAAATAATTCGACAATACGACAAAGTCAATCACCAACTATTGAACATTATTTTCAACAACAAAATCCATCGAGTCGATCATCATCACCAAAATCTTTCAGTGATCAAGGTTTAGGAAGCGAATGTACTTCACATTTCTCATCAAGTAAGATTTTGTTTTAAAATGAGAATAAAAAGTTTTTTCTAAAGAAAATTTTCAAGATTCACCGAATGTAACAAGTGGAGATTATACGTATAAGAGAAAAAGATTGTACACAGCTTCGCCTGGAAGAAAATGTATGTGTATTAAATCTTATCGGACAAATTTACCAGGAGAATTATTAATGAATAAAGGAGATATTGTTGAAAGTATGTAGAATTGGAAAGTTTGGAAAAAATATTTTAAGAATTTTTCATTTTTTAGTTTTAAGTGTAGGAGAAAATGGATTTTTGGAAGGTAAATGCAAAGATTTAGAAGGATGGTTTCCAAGTGATCATGTACAAGATATTTCAATTTTTAGTAAATATTATCAAATATTTTGTGAATTGATTTGACTTGAGAAATGTTTGTTTAGAAACTGGTGAAGTGATTCATAATGATCAAATTGTTATTAGTCGTGATACTTTATCAGCTTTAATGATCAATAATGATAGTTACAGTCCACGAACAATTGTTTTACAAAGAGGAAAGAAAGGCTTTGGATTTGTTTTACGTGGATCTCGAGGTAAAAATTTGGAATTTTTGATGAGAAAAATTCCTCATTTGTGAAATTTAGTCGCTGGAAAATTATTTCAACCAACTCCATCCTTTCCTGCTTTACAATTTCTTGATAGTATCGAAAAAGGAAGTAATGCCGATAAAGCTGGTCTAAAACAAAATGATTATGTTCTCGAAGTAAATGAAAATTGAGTTTTCTATTGACAAAATGAATATTTTTCTCTTTGATAAAGATCAATGATATCAATGTTATTTCAATGCCTCATGAAGAATGTGTAAATTTAATTAAACGAGCAGGTGATACATTAGCTTTAAAAGTCATAACCGCGAATCCAATTCCAATCGTTCATTCTCATTATCAACATATTGAATCACATTTTCATCAACAACAAATCGCTTCTCAATCATTACCACATCGAAGAAAAGGTAATCAAACAATTTCATTTGTTTCGAAAAGAAGAAAAAACTTTCCTTTTGTTTTCTTTCAGCACCACTTCGACCAGGCCTTGAACAACAATTCACTGGTACGTTAATTATCTTTTCGTCAAATATTACAAAGCATGTTTCTCTTTGTGATCAGTATCTTCATCATCATCGAAAATCTCACCTTTTCATTGTTTACTTAATTCTTCTCAATCGGGATCTCTCATGTTAAAGAGAAAAGAGCAAGAGAAGATCTTAGGTATTTCATAGATATTCAAAAACATTTTCTGCATGCCATTCTCTTTTTAACTTAAAAATCAACGAACAGGCGCGTATGCATGTCACATCTCATCCTTTGCATGTGTTTTTTTTTTGTTATCCGAGAAATTGACTAATTTAAAATCTTTTGATTCAATTAATGACGTTCAAGGACGAAAAGTGAACACAACTTCGAGATGAAATTGTTAAATAATGATTTAAACTTTGCTCAGTAACATATCTTCTCTCTCTTTTTAATCCTCTTCACATTTTTTTTTGATCGAAAGAGAAGAGAAAACGTTACATAAAATCTTTATTTAAATTGAAGATGAATTGTTTCATTTAGAAGATCTTGATCGAACATTGAATGAATATGAATACGGAACGATCAATGTTTCTTCAATTCAAACTCACGAAGATTATTTAACAATGTCGAAATCAATCAATGAAAATTCACCAAAGTAAAACATATTTTCAAATTCTTTTTCGAAAGATAAAAATTTATTTATTTTTAGAATAAAACCTTTAGTTCCTGAACGTGATTCTTCACTTTATGAATCATTTCCTTCTTCTCGAACATTAAATCGTCAATCTCCGTCATCATCAAACGTTCGTTGTAATTCTAATTCATCATCAAATGAAGCTGATGAAGAATCTTCATTATCTTCATTGAACAGTAATCATCATCCATCAAAAACTGATGAATCAAATTCAAATATCTATATGAGTCCATCTACAACAAATATGTCAACATTCAAAATAACAAATTCGAAACCAAATGAAGTAAAAAAACGATCGAATAATCGAAAACAAACCTATGCAACGTTGAATTCCAATAATAATAATAATTCTAATAATCTTTCTGAGAATGAAATTCTTTCTATTCCACCACCTCCTCCATTACCAGACAATTTCGATTTATCGAAGAAAACTGAAATAAATCCTTTAAGAAAATCTTCTTCTGATTTTCAAAATCAACTCGAAGAAGCAAAGATTCGTTTAAACAAATGTTCCTCTTTAAAGAAAACAACAATGAAATCCTCCTCAAGTAAGTCAACATCGTCAAAGGATTACGCGTGAAAATGTTATTTACCAAAATGTAAATTTAGACGATTCAACTAAGACTTCTTCACTTCATCGAACTGAATTAAAAGATATCATCATTGAAGATTTATCTCCATCAAATGCATTTCCACCTCCACCATCTCCAACGACACTTCAACGTTCAATTGCATCGTTAACTCCACCTTCGACTTCATCTGTAGTAGATCCAAGATTAGATGTGAATTTTTCAGCTGTTATTGCTCAACGAGCAGCAGAAGCCAAAGCACGTCGATGTGAAAATCCAATCGAATTTGAGTTCAAATCGAATGGTTTACCACCATCAACAACATTTTTCAACAATTGTGTGACAACAAATGGTGTTTCAAAGACTATCTCAACGAATGGTAAGTAAAAAATGAATCTCAACAGAATTTCATATCGATATTTCCAGTTAATTATCATCATCGTTATCGAAATTAAATTATTTTTATGTAAGATGAATAATATATTCTGGGTCTTAGTCATTTCTTTCGTATCGCATGATTGACAAAAAAAAACAAAGAAGAAAGAAAAACGAGATTATTCATGTTTTTTGTTTTCTCTTCTGCATGATAGTCGTTGTTTTAGTTCATGTTGTGTTGTTTTCTTCTTCATGTTTTATTTAGACAAATGAATATCTATTCTCCTAGACATTCCTGGGTTCTATAGGAAAGAGAATGGAATTTTCGAAGAAAATATCAATGTCTTCGAAGAAAATCAAATTGATGATTTGTTCGATTTTTTAGATGCTGTGCGTCCACAACGTTTCAGTACAGCAGCTCATCAATTACTTGAAAATTTGAAGCGTCGTGGTGGAAGTACAAATTCATCAACAATTGGATCTTTTGTAAAACAATGTAATGAACAAACATCGACATAATTTCATCATAAGAGAAGAAATTCTTCTCTTATTTTCTTGTTTTCATCAACTTTCGATGATTGTTCAGTGATATGTCACAGTCGAAATTTTCTCTTCAATGTCTTTGCTTTTGCTTTCTTCGTCGAAATCTTCTCTCATTTCCTTTTGCATTCGCATTTCTTTTTCAATCATTGTGACACATTCTGTGCGTTTATATCGATTGCTTATTCTAATACATAAAGATTTCTATATAATTAATCAAACTTATTTCATCTTTTTATGTAAAAAAAAAAACCATCTGAGATGCTTTGTCTCATGTGACTGTTAATCCTTCATCTTGTGACCTTTATATGCCATTAGGCAAAAGACGAACAAAGGTAATGTTTTGTATCGCTGTTAGACAGCTTTTGCTTTATTAGACAATATCAAAGTAAAATACAACATAAAAATGGATTTTATAGGTGATTTATTGTGAGGATTTTTGCAAAGGTTTGACAATATTACTTGATGTTTTTCGAGGTGTGACGTTTTTCCAAATCCATTTGATAAATTCGGGAAATAATCCCAAAGAAATCCAAGGAATAAATAAACAAATGATATATGTTAAATAAAAAATATATTCAACTTGAATATCTAAAAGAAATGTTGGTGAAATTAAATATTGAATTGTTGCAATAATTATTCCTGGAAACCAAGCAATCATATAAAGACATGATACACTTAATAATTGTATTGTCATTCGTCTTTGTTTTTTCCAAGAAATTGATCCATGTCGACGAAGTTTTTGTCGAATTACTCGAATAATTAAAGTTATATCTGCAAAAATGATAACAATGATTGGAAAACCATTATTAAATATCCAATCAAATGTTGCTAAAGATTTTTCATAAACCATATAACAATTTGCCAATCCACAAATATTTGCATAGAAATTCCATTGTGTTCCATCACAACTATCAAATAAAATAATTATTATATAAAAAATTATTGGATAAATAATACAAATCAAAAGGGGTAAATGATGAAAAATATATCGATTTAATCGATTATTGAATAAAGTTGAATGAAAAATAAGAATATGTCGTTGAATTGATATTGTTGCCATTAACATTTCATTGATACCATTAAGAGAATATTCAAGAAATGTCCACCATTTACAATAAATATTTGTTGATGGATTTATATAACCAAGACGATTAAAATGAATAACCATTGGTAAATCAAATGTTACTTGAATAAAATTAATGATTAATAAAAGAAATAAGGCTTGATTTTGACGAATATGAAGAATAGATTGATGAGTAAAGAAATAAAGAAAAATGAGTAATGAAATGATAATTGATGGAATTTGTAAAGTTAAGAGAATTGCAAATTTAATTCGATGTGAAAGATATTGTGTTTCAACATTTGTACTTAATGTTGAATTCTCCATATTCTTAATTGTCGAAATGAAATGTATTTTCCAATGAAGAAAAAATATTGTAAATATGATGTTATATCAATGAAATGATTATGTTTTAAATAGTTGAATGATCATGACTAGAAGCGACACATAATGTTTGAAAAGTAAATCGAGGTTCTTTTCAAGGAACTGAATATGTTATTAAAGAGATGAATGACGTATCTTTGAATAAATATAGGACAGACATTGGAATTTGTTTCACCCGATTAGTAAGAAAAGCACATGATTTCTATCTTAAGATAAAGGATGAAGTCAGTTCAACCTGGTCTATATTTAATGAACTTAGATTTTATTTGATAAAAGAAAATCAAAGACAGAATACAAAGTTCGTTTTTTTTTCTTTTTATAGAATGACACAACAAGGTGCAAAACACGCTGCTTTTTCTCCAAAACATCCACAACAATTGTAAGGATAATCATTTTCATAAATAGAATTTTCTTGTTTTTGTCCTGGATATTGACAAAAACGAAAGACATGATCTAGAAAAGTTAATATGAATAGAAAAAGATATTTTAATCTATATGAATTCTTACTCATTGTTGGATCTCTTTTGTTAACAAAATGTTCTCCCATAATATAATGAATTTCTTGAAAATTCATTTGTTCAATTGAAAATTCGAGTCGTCGCATAACATTATCGAGATTCATTGTTGGATTTAATTGTTTTTCATAATAATCTCGAATGATATTTTCTCTTAAAGGAATATCTGGAGTATTCTCAGGAATATTCTGCATACATTCTTCAATAGATGATACTTTTGACCATTCAATTCTATTGATTAACCAAATAGGAGTTCGTTGTCCTTTGCGAATTTTTCTTTCAGCTAAAAACGAATTTTGATAAAAACATATTGTATGTCGAGTAAACCATTTCACAGTTAATGTTGGAACATGACGAAATCCTCCTAAACCATTACAACTCCTACAAGTCATATTACCAGTACCTCGACAATTATTACACCGTACTTTTGTATTACTAAAACCAAATATTCTATTCAATCGAATTATCAATTGAATAAAGAAATCTTACTATGCATCATTGAGTCTTACTCTTCCATCACCTCCACATTTGCTGCATGAAACAACACAAGTTGCTCTACATCGTCGACATCTTGAATACGATGTACTTTCCGACAATGCAAAAGTTTCTTTATGTTTATCAGCAAATGGTATTGGAACAGAATAATCAGTCCAAATATTTCCAACAGCTTCACCTCCAATTTCCGTATTCTCAAATAATCGACCTAAATTGAACTTATTTTGTCGAATTCAATCTATTGAACTTACCCAACGATCGACTTCCCAAAACTTTTTCCGATTTCCATGGATAAGGTTGAGTTACTAAACGTAATTTTCTTGTTTCGAAAAGTATTTTCATGGAACATTGATAAGCAGTCTTTGGTTCAACTTTTACAATCGCTGCATCATCAATAGGTCCAGAATGATAACAAAATTTCGAATCAACATACGTTTTGAGATCAACCAGTAACTTTGGTAATTCTCTTGGCTTGAGAAAATTATCACCATCATCATCTTCTAACTCATTGCTTACTTTCGATAATTCATTTACATCAAGAACAACTTCTCGACGATCCTCAGACATGTCGAATTTTTACTCAATATCAACTATTGAAGTAAAACATCGTTAAAAAAAGCGTTTTTTATGTAATTAGTTTTCTACGAAAAGAACCTTTTCTTCTTTGATAAGAAAAATGATGATAATAACACATCTGTTATCATTCACTGTTTTACATAACAAATTCCAACATTTTCATATTATCATCATCATGTCTGGATAACAGATATAAGATATGAAGAGAAAAAAAACAATTTTCTTTATTAAATATTATGAGTCCTTGTTCGAATCGGAACAATTTGAGATCTTTGTCTTTTCCAAAATAATAATTTCGACCAAATCTCCGGAAGTAAACTAAGACAAACAAACGGCATAAGAATATTGAGAAATCGTACCATAAAATTCAGATAATTGATTTGAATCGCAGCAGCAAATGTTGGTAAACAACAATTTTGTACAATACTCACAAGAGTTGTTGGTAAAGTTAAAACAAGAAAAAGAATTGCAATTGACATTAATTGAAGAATCATCTGACGACATTTTCGCCATCGAAAGAGATTTTGTTGAACTTGTCGTTTCTGGAGAATAACACGAAGAAGTAAACAAATTGTAAAAGTAACGACAACGAATGTTGGAAGAAAGTTATGTGCGATTCGAGCATAGAGAGCAAGAGATGGAACTTTTAATGCACATGGATATGCACAAAATAATGCGAACATGTTAAAATGATTTTCACATGGATAAACAAATGTTATGAAGATATTAAAGAGAATTGGATAAAGAAATGCGAAAAGAAAAAGTGGAAAATAATGAAAGAGAAGTCGATGAAAACGATGAGTGAATATTTGAGAATGAAATATGAAAATATGACGTTCAATTGAAGCCCAGGACATTGTTAAATATGTTGAAATTGTTAAAGTTGAATTGATAAAATTCCAAAAAAGACATAAAATATTTGTTGATGGTTGAACTTGACCTGTACGAAGATAATTCAATGTAAATGGATGATTAAAACATAAATCAAATAAAGAAATGAATAATAAAATTAATGGAAAATGATTATGAAGAGTTGAACGAAGATTTGAATTCGATAATAAATGAAATAAGGTAAATATACAAAATATTATGGAAAAAATATAAGAAATTTGTAATGAAATATATTTGATTTCATTGATTAAATCCATTAAACTGAAAATAGGAAATGTTGAACTTGATGTTATTATTCTGAATATAAACTTTGAAATGAGACACTTTTACGTAGTGTTGGTGTCAAAGATTTGTTTTCTTTTCATTAAAATTTAATTATTATCTCTGGAAACGACATAATATAATCATAGATGAGATTTTCTACTCATGTATTCATGTTGTCGAAAACATAAATGTATAAAACTGAAGAAATCATTTGTATTGGATGACTCAATCTATTTGATTTGCAAAGTGAGTTGAATGAACATTATCCATTGGTAAACTTACAATAAAATTCATATGAAATTAATAAATCATGTAAAACTTTGTTTCAATATTTATTCATGAAGTCTTCTATGATATTCATTAAAAATTTCTACTATGACAAAGTTCATCGTATTTCATATATTTTATTTTGAATGAATTCAATTCTCGCGTCAACGAATAAAGTCTGAGTGTATCTTTCGAAAATTGTTGACAGAAAAAAACAGTCAAATCTATAGAGATGTTTCATTGGTCTTTACTGGATAAATCATATTATTACATTGATCAATAAGATTCTTTGTTTTTTCAATAATTGAATGAGATTTTGGATAAATTTTCTCTTGTAAATATAATGCAGATTTTAAACGATCTGCAGCTATTTCATATTCATGTTGATAATTCATAAGATGAACAGCAACAAGTATGAGACATTGAATCGTTTTTTCATAATGTAAATGAGTATTTTTTTGAAGTATATTCAATGCTTCTTCATAAAGTTTCAATTGTAATGAAATCTTAGTTTTATCATTATCATAAAGTTCGCCTTGTTTTATTTTAAAATATGCAACACTTGAATAATCACGAGTCAAATGAGTTTCATAGAACAGAATTTGTTCGTTACACATTGATTCCGCTTTGTTGATATCCATTTGTCGACGATAACATTCAATTAAAGCTAAAGTTGAATGTACTCGACATAGATCACCAATTAATAATATTTTTTCACTTGATTCCAATGCTTCTTTATAAAATTGAGTTGCCGCTGAATATTTTTGTTGAGCCAAATACAAATCACCCACAATTCCTTTATAATGTAAAATCGCTAATTCCGGTGTTGATTGAGTTTTGATCAAAATCTCAAATGCTTGACAACGTAGTTTAAGTGCAGTTGTATAATTTTTCATAAGAATGTGAATAGAAGCTTGATTTAATTTGATAATTGCAATACTGATTGGATGAATTCCATGACATTTCAATGCTTTTTCATAATAGATAAGTGCTTTGGGATAATTTTGAATAGCTTTATAATAATTGGCAAGTCCGTTGAAAGTCGTTTCAAAAACAGGATGTGTAATAGGATGATTTTTTTGTTTGAGATTTCGAGCAAAATTGAGACAAATATACGCAGCACGCCAATTTGTTGTTTGTAAATGAAGATGACCGAGATGATCGTGAACAGAAGCGATGTCTTTGTGATTTTTTGGTAAAATATGTGACATCATTTGAAAATACGATTCCGCTTTTTCATATTGATTTAAATCGATTAATAAACGACCAAAATAGATTTCAATATTTTCATTTCGTAATTTTGTTGGATCAAAACATTTATGTGTTTCATCGATTTTTGTATTTGTTGTTCTCATTCTGATATGTGTTAATGAATTGTTGTTCTCATTAAATGAAGAAGTATTTACTTCATCTTTTACATTGATAATTTCGAATGTTGAACCAATATTGAACAGAATTTCATGTTCTCCATGTTTTGAATAATCGTGAATATCAGCAAAGATACAACTATTTCGACTAAATGGTTCGATTTCGATTTCGAAAAGAACAACTCGGAATTCTTCGGTATTTTCTGCAGATATGATGAAATTGAGTGCAACATCGATTAATTTCGATGTGGAAAGAAATCNTTCATGTTCTCCATGTTTTGGATAATCGTGAATATCAGCAAAGATACAACTATTTCGACTAAATGGTTCGATTTCGATTTCGAAAAGAACAACTCGGAATTCTTCGGTATTTTCTGCAGATATGATGAAATTGAGTGCAACATCGATTAATTTCGATGTGGAAAGAAATCCATTTGTTGAAATTAATCCACCTGTATTATCTCTTATTTTCGTAAGTTCACTAACAGGTAAATGAGATTGACCACGATAAACGAGAAAACCTTTGGAAATATTTTGTTTTTCTTGCAATTTTTTCAATTCATTTGAAAGATCAAGACAATAAAAACGAAATAAATACCATAAAGACATATCTTCAGTACGAAATGCTCGATTAATCAATCGATAGACAAAACTATCTCGAGTATACCATTCAATTGCTTTCGATGAAGTATAAGTTCGTTGAAATTCTTCAATACGTTGTAATTCACTTTTATTTCCACGATAAAAATCACGACATTTATTAACCATAATCTGTATTTCCATTTCATGATTTTTTATCTTTTTCTTTGATCGTTTTGTCGAGAGAAGATCAACAAACAACGGATAGGAGAAATAAGAATTATCATCAATTGTCATTGGAGATGATGTTAACATTCTTGTTGAAATCAATTTTTGAGCTGGAAAAAGATTAAATCTTAAAGATGGAAGAACACGAAGAATACTTTGTTTTAAACTTTCATGATCAGTACAAACATCAACTACATTAAACCATCGATTGGTATCTGCAAGTAATTTATATTTATTATAATCTTGACAAAAGATAATCACAGATGGAAGTTTTTCATCAATATGTTGAAATGAAGATGAAACAGTTTTGTTTAAAATGTCTTTAGCAAATTGACCGGATAGAATTAAGAGAGTTTTTAACTGTTGAGTATCAGATGTTTGAATTGTATTAATGAATTTGTCTTTATCGTCAAAAAATGAACATTGATCATTGTTTATACTTTTTAAAAGCATTTTTGTTCGCATCGAATCACTTTTATTGTCGTTTGCATTTTGATCCAACCAAATGATTTTATAATGTTCATTTCGTATATCTTTTTCTGAAATACTTCGTCTCAATAAACTTTTAGTACTCACTGGTTGCTTCTTACGAAAAACAGACAGTATTTTCGACATCATATAATGAACTAATATAAATCACCTATAAAAGATTATCGATTCAATGAATATTTTTAAAATGATGTTACTTACTTTTATATCAAGTGAAAATTTAAACAAAAAAAAAACAAAACAATTTTTTCAACATGGGACAAAAGTAAAGGTTATTTGGAAAAATCTTATTTTGATATCAATGTCGAGTAGGATTTCACGTGAAATGAAATAATCTTTCCCCCTGGGAAGATTTTTTCGATTTATTTTTTTATCTTACGAACAAATATAATGTAAAGTTTCTTCTTCCAACATGATTTGTTCTTTTTATATTGTTTCGACAATTGTTAATCTTCATATATTTCTCATAGTGTTGGGAAATTGCATTCGTAGGTCGTTTATCACTCTTAGTCTTCTGAGTTCTTTGTATAATTTTAATTATATTTTTATAAACATTTCATTTCACTTTTTAGTTTTGTGTAATGGAAGGTCGTCCAACATTGTATTTTGTTCTCAATTCGCCGATGTATTTCGCTACTTNAAAAGTAAAGGTTATTTGGAAAAATCTTATTTTGATATCAATGTCGAGTAGGATTTCACGTGAAATGAAATAATCTTTCCCCCTGGGAAGATTTTTTCGATTTATTTTTTTATCTTACGAACAAATATAATGTAAAGTTTCTTCTTCCAACATGATTTGTTCTTTTTATATTGTTTCGACAATTGTTAATCTTCATATATTTCTCATAGTGTTGGGAAATTGCATTCGTAGGTCGTTTATCACTCTTATTCTTCTGAGTTCTTTGTAAAATTTTAATTATATTTTTATAAACATTTCATTTCACTTTTTAGTTTTGTGTAATGGAAGGTCGTCCAACATTGTATTTTGTTCTCAATTCGCCGATGTATTTCGCTACTTATTCGCGAAAGTTGACGTTAAGAATGTTTCTTTACTTCCATGCAAAACTCATTACACTGACATTTCTTCTGATATTGGCGATTATACGAGGATTAATGTTTATGTTTGGAGTATTTGGTAAGTTTTAGAAATTGTTAATAGAGAAAGTGATCGTTTCTCATCGTATTATTGTAGAGAATATCTAAAAAACGAAATCATTTGTGCTTCTAATGTTACTTTATTTTTAAATGTTTATTATCGAAAAAGAGTTTCTTAATGTGAAATGAGTTTTGTTTTCAGTTTGCATATTCGACTTTAAAAGATGTGTACAATTTTCTTAGTGGAAAATTTACAATTAGATTCTACACTAACCATTGTCTGATTTGTTCATTTAAAGGGGAGAAAATAACAACAGTCGATGTTTATCATCAAGACATGGATCTGATTATTCGTCATTGTCCAAAGTTGAAGATTAATTCGGCTATTTATCAATCAACTTTCTACAATCCACCAGAATGTCAAAAAGACGTTACTTCTCGTGTACAACAACTATGCGAGAATAAAATGAACGATCAATGTAATTTTACTGTAACCAATGAGATGTTTCAGAGTGAAATATGTTTAAGACGTTACTCAAAACAATTGGTCGTCAATTATACATGTAGTAAGATAAGATTGATAAAACTTTCTTTACTTCTCATAAAAGATTTTCTCTCCCTGTTTATTTTCTGAATATTTAAAGTTATATTTTGAAATCTCTTGTATAGCTCTCTTCGACAAATACCTGTAATATGTATTTTTGATACATCGTAAACGAAAACGAACTTTTCGAATATACAATCGATAGATGATGTATACGATACTACGTGTTCTTTTTCACCTTTAGAGTATCGAACTAGAAATAACAGACGAAGATGCACACTTTGTGCAACATCAAGTCATACTCGAAGCTGCCATAGTTGTACAGGTGTGGAAAAGTATGAAAACGAGCAGAAATGTAGTATATCATGCAAGTGTCACACGATAGATGGAGATTTTCAAACAAGCAATGCTACATGGTACAATAACTGTGAGTTACAGAATATCAATGGTGAATTAAAGTGTGCATCTGACTTGAAAGATCGATGTCCTGACAAGACAATAATGCACAACATGAGTATGTCACATCTATGATTTGAACATTGTTAAGATATATAGAACATTGACCACTCGAGAGACTCGATTTATGGTTGAATCAATACATGGAGGGAGAATAATGTTATTGAAAAAAATTGTATGTTTCAATCTTAATAGTTCAGAGAGACCATGAATGACATCGACACATATCGTCTATTGATTACTTCAAATTTGGAAGAAAATTACTGTCTGCGAAGGACTTCGATAAACAGATTTTTGCTCATACGATGCATTATCTTATATTGAAGTCTTAATTATTTATTCGCATTAGAGAACGAATACTCTGGAAGAAAACTAACTGATCGAAATCTTTTTTTCGTTCTACAGACAAAATTTAGAGCTTAGATAAAATAGTTCCATACGGCATATATAAAGTTGTGAAAAGTTTAGAACTCTCACTGAAACTCAGTGTTTCCCTATGATACAATTTTCTCAGTAAGTGCGTCATGATAATATACTATACGCTTATACGTATATAAATCTACTGGTTATGTATGAAGTGCGACATAACTCGATTAATTATATCAAATACATACGAAATCTACATTTATGACTGTTTGGCGAAGCAAATCTGACGAAATACTTTGTTCATCTCTTTTCTAATAGATTTTACATACAATTGTACGTGTAACGGTGTTTTATTGTTAGATGGATTTGATTATCCAGGTAGAGAAATCTACAAAATTGAAAATATATCCCTACAACAGTGTTTTGATAATTGTACAAAAACATCAAACTGTATTGGCTTTGCATTTGATCCCGTTTATTCACGATGCTGGACAAAATGGAAGTTGGAAAACTTGCGGTACCCTACAAATTATATAAGAACCACTGGTATCGTCATTGAAAGACTTGGTAAGTTATTTTATCTTCTCTATGCTAAGAAAATTGTCCTATGTTTGGAAGATAAAGCTTTGAGAGTTATATCTGTGTCAATGCAGATCGAAAAGAGAATCTCGTGGAGCTAAAATAGAATTGAAAATTGTCGCTTCCTGACGTCCAACCAGATACTTTAAAATTTAACGCTCGTGTGTTTTGATATGATGAAGTGTGAAAGTGACTTTTCGTTATTTTACTACTTTTCAGGTTTCGATATGATCACGAATAATTTAAATGATGGTATTCCAACTCAGCAGTCATCTCGTTCAATAAAGACAATCTATATTAAAGAGGGTGAAGAATATCGTGGTCAAGTTAATGCATCTGGCTCACTCGTCGGATATGGTTTATATTTGTGGAAGAATGGTAATATGTATTTGGGCGAATTTACAAGTGGTGTTCAGACTGGAAGGGGTACAATGGTTTACAATGATAGAAACAAATATGTTGGAGACTTTGTAAACGGCTATCGACATGGCAATGGTACGATGATTTTGGCGAACAGTGATAAATATGATGGAAATTGGGTGAACGGTTTTAGAACTGGTTATGGTATATATCAGTGGTTGGATGGTGATAAATATGAGGGCTATTGGCTGAATGGAAATCAGGAGGGCAACGGTATGATGATTTGGGCGAACAGGGATAAATATTATGGAAATTGGGTGAATGGAAATATCGAGGGCAATGGCACAAAAATCTGGTCGAATGGTGACGAGTATGAAGGAGAATGGAAAGATGATATGCGAAATGGATATGGCGTCTTTAAAGGATCAAAGGGCGATACATACCGAGGAAATTGGGTAAATGATCATAGACAAGGCAGAGGAACAATGACATATTCCAATGGGACTATTTTAGAAACAACTTGGGCAGCTGACGATCCATATCCGATGTCTCACTAAGACTATATAGATTTTCATGGATTGTCTTTCTTCTAATAAATAATCAAGAATAATAAAGATAACATTCTATAACATTTATTTTGGTGTTCGACTTATTTAGCATAGAAATTAACCACCATTTAAACAATCCTATTTTGTAATCAATTGACGCGTTATACTCTCTTCCAATTTGGACATACGGAGAGAAGTGAAATTATTAGTAAAATGAATGTAATTATTAAAACAATGTGAAAGACTAAAAGTATTATGTTCGTTATCGATCGAACACTTCGATTCCTAGTCGCGATGTTCATTTTGATCGAAAATATTCTACTTATAAAGCGTCAAATAAAGCAATAACTATTTCGACTAATCAAACATTCAGCGGTCATTCTCATCCGTTTGAAAATGTATATTTGTGATTTTGAACTGTTGAGTTTCAATTCGAATAGATTTACCCTCCCTTCACATTCGAAATCTAGAAAAAATCTGCTCGTTATTTATTTTCTTATAAAAATCGAATAAATGGTGGAGCGGGTAAATTTGAATCAGCTGTACTATAAACAGCTGCTTGTTTAAAAAGACAAGGTGTTTCTCTCCATAAATATCGAACAGCATGAATTGATTTCGATTGACATATTGTTGGTATAAGAAGTTTAACAGTAATCGGTGAAAATGGATCATAAATAGGTGTTACTGATAACCAATTGGTTTCATTTAATATACATATTTGTTGATTTTCACAACATATCTAAATCAAAGATTTCTTTTTCATTGAAAATTTCAAAAAGAAATTTACTTCAAATCCATTTGAATTTCGTAGTTCAATTGATGATGAAAATGTACTTAAATATGTAACATTCATTCGATCGAAACTATCTCGTACAACTTCATTTGGAATTGGTCCTTGATAAACAACATTTGTTTGTTTATAAACAATAGCAAGACCAGATCGAGAAAGACGATAACCAACATCAAGTTTTGTTCGAGGATGAATACTTTTTTTTTGTAATAAAAAAAATCTCGTCATATTCAGATTATTTTTCATCTTACCCTCCTTGATCATCACGTAAATCGATTGTTGTTGCCATAAATACATTTTCAGTTGCATTATTTGGTGTAAAACCAATATCAAATGTTTGATGCCATCGAATCCATGGAAATCCACCAATAATCTTTCCTGTTGATTCTCCTGTTGATAACTAAAGAAAAGAAAATTCTTTTGAAAAAAATCATTGAAAAGAAATACTTGAACAAAACCAAATGGAAATTTTGAATCTATGAGAGAATTTGTACGTTGTTGCCATGTAAATCTCCAATATTGAATCATTTTCCGAAATGTACATTGATATTTGTCTCGATTATAATTGACATTTGCTTCTCCTTGATACCAAATTACTCCTTTGATTATCATTCGTGTTAATGGATAAATCATTGCATTATAAATAATAGAATTATTCAATTTGACTTCATCGTTCTTTCTAAAAATTTCAAAATTCTCAATCATTCAATTACATTCATCAAATTTACATTAACATATGACAATCTTTGAAAACTTCAGGTGGTGACCATAATTCAATTGATGATTCATCCAAAGATGTATGAATAAGACCAATTGGTCGATGATCATCTAATTCTATATGAATCATTCGACCATAAATCCAACATACAGCTGATGTATAAATACTTCCGACACTTTCTACAGATGCAATTGACCAATTGAGAGTAATACCTAAAAGTTCATCTTCTGGTTGCATTGATTGTCTTTTTTCTACTGTAAATAATCGTATTTTTGGATATTTTCCTGCATTTGCAATTTCAATTGAACCATTAAATATTTTTTGTACTGACATTTCCATATTTGATTGACCAGAACATAACCAAACATCACCAAAGAGAATATCACGAAGAGAAATTGATTTCTTCGATCTGTTTGAAAAGATTTGTGTAGCAACAAGTTCAAAAGGACCTTCATTACTTTCTGGATCAAGTGTAATCGACCAAATGTTTTCATTTGATGAAAAAATTTTTGTTTGGTAAATTTTCATATTGATTGTTAATATAATTGAGACATTTTGCGCGTCACTGTAACCCCAAACAATGGATTTTTGTGGAGAACGTTGAAGAACCATATGATCTTGATAATAATTTGCAAAACGAAATTCACCATTGACTAAAACTAAACAGAAAACTATCGGAAGAAAAGAATTTTCTTTGAATCGAACCGATGTTCACGAAGAGAAAAACATAAAATTTGACAAAATTCTTCATAGTTGATTGACATGTGACATGAAATGATAATGTTATTGTTTAAAAATACTCGAGATAAGATAATGTAGAACAGATTGTTGATCTTCACATTTTCTGTTTCTTTTATTGAAATTAAAAAGAGAACCAACGTTGACATAATTTGACGACATTCTCGTGAAACTACAAGTTGTAACCTAAAATTGAAATTGCTTTGTTCGATATTTCAAGAACATTTTATTCTTTACGGTTGACTTTATCTAATGAGTTTACAATTCACTTCCGCCTACTGATCTTCAGCTTTGAATTTCCGTAGATATGCCATGACAACTTTCATGGCAAATGAGACAGTTCAATATTTCTGTTTGAAATAATCCTACTTTTATATCTAAATAATGATCTCAAAAAGAGAATTCATTTGACCTTATTAATACTGAAGAATAACCAACAATAAAATAAAAGTGTCATCAATGTCGAATACTTTTGTATCCTTATTATCTGTAGAAATCAATTTATATCGATTCGGTGGTCCAATAATGGTTATTTTAGGTTCACTTATAAGTCTAATTACGTTTAGTAAAAATCTGTGTTCGATTTCTTTTATTGCATTTAATTTAGCCAATCTTCTTTATATTTGCATCTCAATTGTCTATTGAAAATTTCATACTTCGTCGTTTTCTTATATATTGTACATTCGTTCTCGATTGTCTTAGTCCATTTTATTTAATTTTGGCCTCGGTTGATCGAGTTTTGTTAACATCATCCAATGCTTTTGTTCGACTACGAAGTACTTGTCGTCTTGCTATTTGATGTACCATTGGTGGAGGTCTCTTTTGGATGTCATTTATTCATTCAAGTGAATATTGTACAAACTGGATCAAATTATTTTCTTTGTTTTTTCTTATTGGGTGTCTATGCGTCATTTATTCTTTATTATTTAGTTATTAGAACAATTATAACACCTTTAGCCATGATTTGCTTAGCATTGTGGACAATGAAAAACCTTCTACATATCCGTCGTATTCGAATTCATCCACCGATGGCATCACATACAATTCCGAAACCGAATGATATGAATTTACTTCATCCGAGAGATCGTCAACTTATTCTGATGTTGTTTATGAATATAATTATCTATATTTTATTTAATTTTCCAACAACAATCGTTGTCACATATGATCTGGTTACACAAAACAATAACAGATCTTTGGAACAAACGCAAATCTTTTCGATCATAAGATATTTCAGTGTCTTCGCCCCTTATTTTCCGTTCTGTATCAATGTTTATGTAAATTTCCTCATATCGACTACCTTTCGGAATCAAATCAAATAAATACTTTTATGTAAATGAATCTGAATCATATACAAACTGAGGAGTTTGAAAGAATGTCAATGTAATATCGCGGAATGTCGAGGAAACGAATATTCACTTCATATAAATATCTATCGAAAATAAAAGTACGCAATAGAATCTTTTTATAATTTGTCGGTAAAAAAAGAAAGAAAGAATAGACCCATTTATGGTCAAGATAAAGATGTGATGGAATGAACAGAAATTGTAACATTCTCAGACAAATACGCAGAAGAATAAATTATCTTTTTACGAATTGATCAAATATAAATATCGAGGTTTTGTTTTACTATGGAATTAATTTCTCATCTCGTTTGAAAAAATTATCATGAGATTAATTAATAAAGTTATCATCTTTTATTCTTTCATTATTTTCTTCACTTTGGTTAATCTTACTTCATGTAATACTGGTAAAGTTATACTCGGACGATTTAGAAAGACTCTAATAGAAAGAAAAGAACAAATTTGTGCAATTTTTAAGTCAATTAAACTTGGTTTAAGTGCAATTGAAGAAATTATCAATTGTCTTGAAAGTATTAATCGTGTCTTCATGGAATCCCAAAAACACAATGAAGATTCGAATGATTCCTTTGATACTGAATCTATTGGAAGTCGATCATCTGGTTCATCATCTGAATTCAGCGAAATCTCAAATGAAAAACGAAATATTCGTAGTGTTTTATCAATGAAGATTGATGAAATCAATGATTTTACGAAACAAACTCGATTATTACATCGACAGAAGCGCCTTTTCAAGAATTCATTTGATCCAGATGCGATTATACGTTCAGCATTAAAATCATTTGAAAGTCAACTTGTCAAAGCTGTTGAAAATTTGAATTTGAAATCTATTTTTGAACAAGTTCTACGTTTGTTGGATATTCCTTCAATAATCCAAAAATCATTTGGAGATTTGAATAAAATTATTGAAAAACAATTAGATATTCCAAATATTCTCATGAAAGAATTAAAAAAGATTAACATTGAACCATTTCTAAAAGAAATCATTGCACAACTTGATTTCATTTCCGTCGTAAAAGATCAAATGAAAAATCTCAATTTCGAAACAACATTCAATGACTTAATTAAACAAATTGATTTGAAAAATGTCATCAACGAACAAATAAAGAATCTTAACATAACATCAGTTATTGATAATCTTATTCAATTAGGACATATCGATGAAACTATTCAAAGGTTCATTTCGAAAATCGATCCGATGAAAATCTTTCAACAAACTTTTCATTCAATTGATGTTGATCAACTCTTTGATAAGTTCATTGATTTTAATAATTCCATTTCACCTTGGAAAAGATTATTCAAATTATTGAAATTAGATGAAATTCAAAATCCAGAATGGATTTTACAACAGATTTTACCGGGAATGGATTCACAAGGTATTTATCGACTTATCGATGATTTTCGAAATACTCTCGAAGCAGTTGGAAATGGAACTTTAAAAACAAAAGATATTATGGTTAATTTCGTACTTGACAAAGGAATTCCATTTATAATCGATACATTCAAATCACAAGGCATAAAAGTCGAACAATTTACACAAATAAACCGTATGGAACATCCATTACCATTAGTATAGACATAGGAACATATTTAGTCATCATTTGTCCGTCTTGTTGTTTTGATAGATAACCAATAACGAAACACAATCATCATTATCAACGACAGGGTAAGATCAAACTAAAAATTTGTTTTTTCGAATTACAATGATTTTGTTTTGGAAATATCGATACTAATCCGAAATAGAACGTATTTTATAATTTTGTTTTTCACATAGTGATGAAGATTTGACATATGAATCGACGTTATCCACCGAGAATAACACTCAATGGTTCAATTCAGACGAGTTGTGAGTTGCATAGTTCTTTCTTTCTCATAATTTGAATGAATTTTCATCTTTTAGAATGACGATAAATCAAAAGTTCGTGTTATTCTATTTGATTTAATCGAAACATGAAATTGACTTTTTAGTGAATCTATACAAATTCGAAAGAAACGAGATAACTTACTTTATGATGTTATAATTCCAAAGCCTAGTCAGAATCGAGTGTTACGTTTACTCCGTAATATTATTCAGAGTTCGAATATAGTCAATAAAATCTTTTATGAATTAATAAATTGGTTTTATTTCAAAATCGATATGGATTTATGTTGGTAGCATTCGAAAACTTTTTCTATTACAAGAAAGAACATTGTCTTCCTTTCATTTTTAGAATTAGTAAAAGAATAAATTTTAATCTTCATGATTATGATGAATACGGAGAGAGATATGAATCTATGAGTTAACCATCGTCGAAATGGTGAACTTCACTTTTTTTCTAGAAGATGAAAGATCCTCAATTTTAAAAACTACTAAACAATATCAAAGTCATATTTGAATGAGATAAAGTGTAAGCAAAGGAAATTTCCGAAATTATTATAATTTCTCTCGACTTTTACCATTCCTCTTTCGTATTGATGTCTATTACTCGGAAATATAATTAAAATTTCTGACATTTCCGTATTTTATACACTAATGCTTGTTTGATGAGTGGAAACTTACTTATTTGTAATAGTTAGTTTCGATAGATTATTTCAGAAATTTTCTTTTTGAAAAATGAAAACATACTTCCACTAAAAAACCATACAAAGTTTTAAAAACTTTATGTATTTTCATATCTCATCTCCATGTCGTAATTCACTACTAGGAAATCTCAACGTGATCGTTGGGAGCATTGGAGATATATCGTATTCTTTCGTCTCCCGTTTGATTGCTCCATAAGTGTAGTTCAGTGAGTGTCTATATATATGGTAGAGCAGACCGATAGATGAAATGTGTAAAGGACGAAGGAATACTACCTTATTTGTGCGCAGTGCATCACTAAGATGTTGTGTCCCAACGTCTCCGATTTGATTCGAGTAGAGTTTCAGTGTAGTGAGCGTCCAGAAATAATAAGGCAGATGTGAAAAGTCTGTATAGTTTATAGTTAGAAAAATAAGGTTTAACTTTTTTCGGTTGTTTGCATGAAGAAATGTGAAAGTATATATAGTTAATATGTTTTTATGTGTATTTAGGCAGTCTATTCAGGTTTGTAGAGATTCAGTCTAGAGGAACTGGGGAGGTTGCACATGGCGGTTGATATTTCAGCTGAGGAAAGAAGTATATGCAATGGATATTTGTTTGCAACAAGGTTTTATTAGTTAGTTTTACCGAATGACTGTACTACTATATTCGTATGGAGTTTTCCCAGATGTAGTAAATCGTGATCGCTTAAATGTTCGCCTTTTTAGAAGAATCAGTCGTAGTTGTTACAGCGTTGTTAACATAGTCACAAAGTCTTTCTAATAGTCCTTTTCCTTTCTCACAAGTCAATTTAACGAGTAATGAAATAATTAAAATGCATAACAGACTCATCTGAAATCGATGATAGGTGTTAAGAATCTGGTCGAATCGTCGACAAACATTTTGTATTGAATAAAATAATGTGTATTCACTCGCGTGATCCAAAATTCGATAAACAAGTTCTACCAATAAATTAAGAAATATGGACATTATCTTTGTCTCGTTTTGATGAAAACTAATACAAATCGTTGTAGTGCACTGTAACAACCCATTCTCAATGATAACGCAATTGCTTTTTTGTTGGTTATAATAGCTGAAGCATAACGTATCCAATTACAAATGTTTATTTTATTGCAAACAGATGGAAGCATATTATACTTGTATATCGATATCGATGTCGAATAAATGAGGAAATTTCAAGAGTTTTATGTACTGCAAAAAATGTACGGGTAATCATAGAGAAATGTCAGTAATTTGGCAATAACTCATGAATGACTCTTCCAATCAGACTCTTCATCGAACTCGACCGAGATGTTAATAAGACTAAACTGTGCAGAAAATTTCACCACAATCTGACTCTGTTTTCTGAGTACACTAAAAAGAACGAAATAATGTTTGGTAAATCGTATTGAAATAATCATTATGTTTAAAATAAGTTTCTGTTTGAAAACTTCATCCAATAGTTTCGTTAACATTCTTGTGCACAAACAGTATTTTATAATAAATTTAAAAGAATTTTTTTTTGTATCTCAAAGAAGACGAGGTTATATCATGAATAAGGTCAAACACTATTTCGTGTTTGATCTAATACTTTGAAAAGCGTATGTCTATTTTCAGTCATGGCTTTTTCATGGGTCGTAACACATAGATTTAGTCTAATATTCGCTAGGAAACAAATTAACTCGGCGTCTTTCTTACTTCATGTTTATGAATTTTGAATTATTCTTTTATTCGTGAATCTCCGGGTTTGACTTCTATGATGTTTGATTCTATGCTTATAAACGACCTCAAAAAGTACAGACTATCTGAGAACGAGTCAATTTCGAAATCTATGTTAGTTTTGCAAAAGTATATGAATGAATCACAGCACAAGAACGGAAAAAATAAAATGAGATGTTCTATATTTTACAAATAAAATAATAAATTGAAGAAAAAGGAACAATTTGGAGAAGTTGGGCATCGATCCCAATACCTCTCGCATGCTAAGCGAGCGCTCTACCATATGAGCTACATCCCCATGTTAATCTTCCCATCATCAGATTTTCTCAAGTACATGTCATATGGATTATAACAAAAGGACATTCATCATTCTTATCATTTATATACGTCATTACGATATCCTTTATAATAAAAATATCAAACTTAAAAGTATTCTGACGATTTTGTCATTGGATTTTCAATGAATATTTCAGAGATTATACTGATATGTCCACAGGGTTATTAATTCATCACAAAGAGATGTCTCTGTATAATGTATCGTGTGAACTCCTAGTGAAACAGAAAATCTTTTTACAGACGATTTTCTCCAAAAATGTAAATTGCTTTTCACCGAACTATTTTGTCATTTCTGTGAAGCAATTGAAACTCAGAAAATTAAATTAAGAAATTCTCGTACCACAACTCATCTCAACAATTTCAATCGACATATTTCACAATTCTACTACAACAAGCAATGTCAGAAGACATAAAATAGGATTTCTCTGAGAATGACAAAAGATGGCTTTGCCCATATTTTATATTCATTTTGACATTTCCAAATTTAGTGTAATAATATAATCTTAGTATTCAGTATATATCATCTGATACTCTGATTCGATTGAATTTCATTGCTGTCAGATTTAGTTAGTTCTTAGAATCGTGACAAAATATAGAGATGAAAGTAACGCTCATCAAATTTACAGCAACAGACTGTAATTTAGCCGATGGAATCTAAGACAGATCTGCTAGCGGAGGTTCTAGACGATTCTATTAAATGAGTAGACTTATAAATCTGGTTAAGAAAATACGATTTCCTTGACAAGTAACATACAGACAGATCGCTATATATATCTGACTTTTTTGTCTGATCTTATATAAATTGTCGTCTTCCCTTCGATAAGTACAAAGAAGATGAACAAAATTTATTTACTTTTAATGAAAAATAAAGGTTTTGTATAAGTGAATTAATTGAAATGATTTGTAGGTCGAATTGTATTTCCTCTTTGATATTCTTTGACAAAGAATTTCCTTATCCATTTAATAAATTCTGGAAATAATCCTAAACATATCCATGGCATTAAAAGATAAATCAGATAAAGTAAATCGAATATATAATCAAATTGAATATTAGAAATAAATCCTGGAATGAATAATTGTTGAATAATTCCAATGAAAATATTTGGAAACCATCCGAGAAAATAAATTGAAGAAATACTTAATAATTGAAGTGTCAATTTTCGTTGTTTTTTCCATGAAATAATTCCTTGACCACGACGTTTTTGTCGAAGAACACGTATAATAAGTCCAATATTCGCAAAAATGATCACCAAAACAGGTAAACCATTATTAAATGCCCAATCAAAACTTCCTAAAACTTTGTCATAAACAAGATAACAATTTGCTAATCCACAAACATTTGAACTATAATCCCATTGTGTTCCATCACATGAAAAATCGAATACAATAATAATTAAATAGAGAATTATTGGATAAATAATACAAATCAGAAGGGGTAAATGATGAAAAATATATCGATTTAATCGATTATTGAATAAATTTGAATGAAAGATGAGAATATGTCGTTGAATTGATATTGTTGCCATTAACATTTCACTTGCAGCATTTAAAATGTATTCAAGAAATGTCCACCATGTACAATAAGATGATTTTGTTGGACTAACATAACCAAGACGATTAAAATGAATAATCATTGGTAAATCAAATGTTAATTGAATAAAATTAATGATTAATAAAAGAAATAAGGCTTGATTTTGACGAATATGAAGAATTGTTCGATGTGTGAAGAAATAAAAAAAGATCAAAAGGGAAAGAAGAATTGCGGGGATTTGTAAAGTTAATAAAATCGTAAATTTGACTCGATGAAGAACAAATTTTTCATCTTGAAACGTTGTAAAATCAATTTCATTCATGACTTTTGTCAATAATAAAAAGAAAATTCAAATGAAATTTGTTATTTTATTAGAAGAAAAACAAGTTAAATATTCTATTAATCAAGAAGAAAATGAAATCTTTGTTGAATGACATGTCTAATAATGAAGAAAAAGGGAAGATTTATTTTGACATATAATTTGTATTATTTCTAATCTAATTGCACATTTTCATCATCTTCTTAATTTTTCTTTTTTTCAAAAGTATTGATCAATAGTGACAGAGAAAAAAATTAATCTTTTTTTTTTTATACAAAATAATTATGATGAAATTCTTAAAAGAGTAAAACAAATTCAACTAAATGATATATCATTGTTTATTATCATTTTTAGTGTAAAACAAATTTTCTTTTTCAATATGTGTATATTTCAATTGATGAAGAATATTAAATGATGAATATATTAACAGATACTTTCTATACGATAAACAATCGGTAAATTAGTTCTTTTTAATTTAAATATTATTTATCTCAGATGGATTATTTTTATTTCATAATTCATAAAAACTTATCAGATTAATTATACTTAATTTCTTTGCTCAGTTAATAAGTATTTATGATTAATGTACAACCGATTCAATGAAATCTTTATTGTTTTTAAATTATAGACAATAGAAATGTTGAGAAAGTGAAGAAATTTAATGAAGATTTGATCGTATTTGAGTAAAACTCTGGAATTTATATTAAATTTCATTCATTCTAATTTGCTTATTGATTCAAATAAAAATGGAATTTAATAAATACTAGGTTGAGGTAAAGTTCGTGCGCCCTGACCCTCATCCTCACATCCACATCCTCAAGATTATTAAAGGTAAAAAAGGAGGAAAGGATAATGTTTCATAGGAATGGAAAATCCAAAGTTATTTTATTGATTTGATCACATTATTGGGCATTGATCGAGATGTAATTATCTTCCAAATCCATTTGATAAATTCGGGAAATAATCCCAAAGAAATCCAAGGAATAAATAAACAAATGATATATGTTAAATAAAAAATATATTCAACTTGAATATCTAAAAGAAATGTTGGTGAAATTAAATATTGAATTGTTGCAACAATTATTCCTGGAAACCAAGCAATCATATAAAGACATGATACACTTAATAATTGTATTGTCATTCGTCTTTGTTTTTTCCAAGAAATTGATCCATGTCGACGAAGTTTTTGTCGAATTACTCGAATAATTAAAGTTATATCTGCAAAAATGATAACAATGATTGGAAAACCATTATTAAATATCCAATCAAATGTTGCTAAAGATTTTTCATAAACCATATAACAATTTGCCAATCCACAAATATTTGCATAGAAATTCCATTGTGTTCCATCACAACTATCAAATAAAATAATTATTATATAAAAAATTATTGGATAAATAATACAAATCAAAAGGGGTAAATGATGAAAAATATATCGATTTAATCGATTATTGAATAAAGTTGAATGAAAAATAAGAATATGTCGTTGAATTGATATTGTTGCCATTAACATTTCATTGATACCATTAAGAGAATATTCAAGAAATGTCCACCATTTACAATAAATATTTGTTGATGGATTTATATAACCAAGACGATTAAAATGAATAACCATTGGTAAATCAAATGTTACTTGAATAAAATTAACAATTAATAAAAGAAATAAACCTTGATTTTGACGAATATGAAGAATAGATTGATGAGTAATGAAATGATAATTGATGGTATTTGTAAAGTGAATAGAATTGCAAATTTCACTTGATGTATCACATGTTTCTCGTCGAAGAAGATTTCCGTGATTGAATTGATCATCTTTGTATGATTATTGAGAGTCTGAAGATAATTGTAAGTTATTTAAATAGTTCATTATGATTATACTGCAAATCATATTACAAATTTTGTAATGAATATCCAAGTGGATAGAAAGATATTCAAGAATATTGAACTTTTCATACGAATTCATTGTAGAAATAAATATGGAAAGATTGATAAGTCTTTGAAATCTTGTGATTATTAAATATAGAAGAATTTCACTTTGATTACGAACAAATGCATGTAATTGCCTGTAATATGAACGAAGATAAGTTTGACAGATGATCTTCTTCTATTTTTATGAAATTAGAACAAATGAAAGGTCAAATAATGATCAGATTTGAAAATCAAAATGTTCTGAAATCATTACAAAAGAGTCATGAATTATATATGGAATTGATTGATGATTATTAATTGAAAATGAAATCTTTCAGAAATGTTATGTTCGTTTTTCGACAAGTAAATAATTGCGAGATCATTTTGTAAATGAAAAATTAAGATTAATAAAATGAACAAAATGAATTTTTTATTGAATATTCTATTTAAAGTACTTTTTTGTTAGTTGACATTTTCTATCATTGGATTTTTAATCTTTCCAGTCGTATAGTTTTTCTATTTATATATTTTAATAGGATAATTATTTTGTTCTTTGATCCTCACCGTTAATAGGCTATTCTCTATTCTATTTTTAGTTGATCTTTCTATAAATGTGTCATCCTGATTTGTTGAATCGAAAGGGACTAACAGTAAGTTCAGCAAGCATTACGACTACAAAGAAAAAACATGAAATATGTTAACAAGCAAATACATTTGTATAGCGGTAATTAGCGAATGTAATTGACTTGCAGTAAACAATTAAACAGATCCATTATTTGATCGAAATTCTTGAAAAATCCAATTTTCAATTATCAATCAAATAGAATAAAAGATTAATTAAGTAATAAGATACATACTGATAACAATCACAATTTCGATATTAATGTCATATAATGATGAACAAAGACTTAGAATAGTGACATAGATCGTTCCAGAAAAAAACCTATGCTAAATAGAATACATATCAAATCGATATTGAATATACTTTCAATCATATAACCAAATAATATGAAAATGGAAAAATAGTAATAAACTATAATGGATCAATTTCATCAGGAGAATCGTAATGTTTTGTTTTGAAGCTTCGAATTTTATCTGAGTATATCTTGTTGTTTTTAGGAAATATTGTTGAAAAAATGATAGATGGTGATGTTTTTATTTTTCAATCTGAGTGTGACGACAAAAACAACGGATAATCGATCGCAATTGTTGAGTAGCGGAGAAAATAAAAGAACTCAAACCGAAAATGAAAGTAATTTTGATTTTTCTTGTTTTAATTTGTACTTTCAGTGATAACGAATTCAATTTCACCATCTTTCACCTAATAGAAAATAAAATGAATTAGTAAAATACAAGACGAAATTCAATATGACTTACGGGTACTTTCTTTGAGATAATAACTTTGTTATTTTGTGAACTTGTCAAAGGAAGAAATGGTTTTCCAAGAATTGTTGTAATTTCATTTTGTTGTTCTAATGCAATACGAGCAATTTCACTTGTTAATGGTTCAACAGCATAATAAATACTGATATCATCCGTTGGTTTGACTTTTGCCTAAATAAGACAAAATAGATTCGAAATAAAAATTGAAGAAATACAAACTTCTTTTCGAAGTTTTTGAACACGACTAGTAATTTCTCGAATGAGACCTTCATCTTTCAATGATGCATCAGCCGTATAATCAAGTAAAACAACAAACTACAACCAAAAACAAAGGAGATAAATTCGAAAATGAATGTATATTATCTTACTCCTTGTTCAGCAGTTGCTTCAAATTGTGTTTGTTTTGCAACTCGATAAACAATATGAACATCTTCGGTTTCAATTGGAACTTCGTCGATAACTGTTAATGGACCTTCATTTTCTTCTTTAGATAATAATTGTTCAATATCTGCATCCGACATTGCACGGATTTTTTCCGTTACTGCTTTAACTTTCGATCCAGCTTTCTTTCCCAATGTTGGATAATTAGGTTCAGCACGCATTTCAACACCATAAAGTTCTCGATCTTGTGAAAAGGTCACTTTACGAACGTTCAAACCCTGGAAATATTCCAATAAAAATCAAAAGAATTCAGATTTAATTATTCGTACTTCTCGAACGAAATCTTCTAATGATTGTAACTCTTTCAATACCGATGCATCTTTATGAATGATAACGAATTCGGGTAATGGATACTGAAAAATCAATGAAATTGTCATTTGAAAACGATTCTATGCAAATGAATTCATACTTTCATTGGAACGATTTTTCGTTCTCGTACGACACGACCCATACAGATAACTGTTTGCACAGCTGCAACAGCACGTTCAATTTCTTTGTTAATCAAAGAATTCCTAAATGAAATTAATTTTTTCAAATACTTTCAATAAGTTTAACGAAGAGACGAACTCGGATTTCGGCATTAAATGGAAATGAACACTCAAGTCTTGTTCCGAAGTATCGGCCGATGATGGTGGCATTAATTTTCTCAAAACTTGATACATATATTCTGCTAGGAATGGTGTAAATGGTCCCATTAATTTCGACATTGTCAAAAGAACATAACAAAGAACATTCAATGAAATAAAACAATCTTCTTGTGATGTTTCTCCCTGAAACCGAAATCAATTACATCTCTCAATTAAATAAACCATTTCATCTTACTTTAAAACGTCGTTTGTTCAATTTGACATACCAGTTAGTTAACATATCAATGTATTTAACAAGACGTGGTACGACCGTATATAATCGATAAGCTAAAATTTCAATGAAACTTGAAATCTAATAATTGAATGTAAATCTTACCATCCATTTCTTGTTTAACAAAATCTAATAAAGTTTGAGTGTATGAAACGATCCATGTATCCATGACATTTGTATTTGATGCCATTGATGCATGCAGACGTTTTTCATCATAAACAAAGGTAACTTTTTTATCAACTTTTAATTGATCACAAGATTGAACAAGAAGACGTAATGCATTGTACCATGGTAAAAACACGTCTTTGACCACATCGCGAACACCTTCTTCTTTAAATTTCAATGATTCACCACGTACAACAGGCGAAGTAATTAAATAAAGTCGAAGTGCGTCAGCACCGTATTCTTCGAAGATAAGTTTTGGATCGGGATAATTCTTCTTTCGTTTGGACATCTTTTCTCCATTAGATGCCAAAACGATTCCATTAACAATTAAGTTTTTGAATGGCGGTTGATCATATAAAGCCGTTGAAATGACTAACAATGTGTAAAACCATCCCCGAGTTTGATCGATACCTTCAGCAATGAAATCAGCTGGAAATGTATTCATAAAAGTATCTTTATTCTCAAATGGATAATGAACTTGAGCGTAAGGCATTGAACCTGATTCAAACCAACAATCGAATACTTCAGGAATGCGACGTAATACACCTTTTCCTGTTCGAGATGGAATTGTCACATCGTCGACGCTAAAAAAAAGAAAACGAATGGAATTTTTTTTAAATCGATGCGAAATATTCGGTCAACGAACAATTCACGATGAATATCATCAAGTTTAACACCAGATAATTGTTGTAATTCTTCGATTGAGCCAACACAAACAACTTCTTGTCCATCATCACTGATCCATAATGGAATAGGATTACCCCAATATCGATTACGTGAAATTGCCCAATCACGTGCATCACGAAGCCAATTAGCAAAGCGTTTCTCTTTAACAAAATCAGGAACCCTACAAAATTCTCATTAAATATCTCCTTTTAAATCGAAAATGTAATATTTACCAATATGCTTTGCTATTGTTCGTTAATAATCGATCAATCATTCCTTCTACCCGAACGAACCACGATGGAACAGCCCGATAGATTAACGGTGTATCACTTCTCCAGCAAAATGGATACGAATGTTTCATTACTGATTGATGAACAAGTCTTTTGCTTTCTTTTAAAAATTTGATAATTGCTTTATCAGCTTCTTTGACATTTTGTCCTTGAAAATCTTTCACTTCGTCAGTAAATCGACATTGTGCATCAATTGGACAAACAACTGGACCTGTATCTCTGTTAATAACACCATTGGCCAAACAAACACGATGATCATCTTCACCAAAATACGGAGCTTGATGAACAACACCTGTACCACTTTCTTCCGTTACATAATCATCACATAAAACTCGAAATGCTGATTCAACCTACATGAACAAAAACGAATCATCGAAAGATTAACATGAAATATTAATCCTACATGAGCAAAATAAGGAAATAATGGTGTGTAACGTAAGCCTTTTAATTGAGATCCTTTAAGACTAAAGGAAGAGAAGCAAAATTTGTTATATGAACATAAAAGAAAGTCAATTTACGTTTCTAAAACTTGATAACTATCAGGTTTTTTATAAAGTTCAGCCAAGCGTTTTTCCATGAGAATAAAAGTTTCATTCTTGGTTTTATCTAATAGAATTCAAAAGAATTTCTCTAATGACAATTTAAAAAAAAATACCAACCGAGAATTTTCACATAAGTTGAATTAGGATTAACACAAAGTGCAAGATTTGATGGTAATGTCCATGGTGTTGTTGTCCATGCAACTAATTTCACTGTTGGTTCATCAACAAGTGGAAAAGATACCCAAACAGCTGGATCATCTGTATCCTTATAGTTTTGTCCAGCTTCGAAGTTTGATAATGGAGTACAACAACCCATAGAATAAGGCATAACTTTAAAACCACGATAGACGAGATCTTTGTCGAATAATTGTTTAAAAACAAACCAAACCGATTCCATAAACCATGGATACATTGTTTTATAATCATGTCGAAAATCAATCCATCGACCCATTCGATCGACAACATCCTAAATTATTTCTCATAAACGAATATTTTCCATGAAATATCACAATATACCTCCCATTCATTAGCATATCGCATGACAATTTGTCGACAATGATTATTATACGTAGCAATACCCATTTTCGCTACATCTTCAGGTCCTTTGATACCAAGTGTTTTATCAATTTCGTATTCCTAAATTAAAACAATAATTAAATCCATAAATATCGAAGAAACTTCATACCACAGGTAAACCGTGACAATCTAATTAAAAGAAAATTGAATTTTTTTTCTATTTTTATTACTAAATAGTGAAAATTTACCCCAACCAAATCGTCGTTCAACATGATGACCTGTTTGATATGCCCAACGTGTAACAGTATCTTTGATAGTTCCAGCTAAGATATGTCCGTAATGAGGAAGACCCGTAGCAAAAGGTGGTCCATCGTAAAAAGTATATTTCGGTCGATCTTTGGATAATTTATTACTTGTTTCGAATGCATTGATTTGTTTCCAATAAGCTAAGATGTTTTGCTCATTGTTTCCAAACTGAAGTGTTTCTCCTGAGACGGAAAAATTAGTTGAAGTCGAAGTTGCTGTAGCCATTTCTTCAAAATAAAATCAAATGGTTTTGTTATTTTTTCTTTCAAATCAATTCAAAATTTAACATATTTAAATAAATCGAAAATATGATGTATTTCTTCGAAATCCTCCTTAAAATCCAACGGTGCTGATGCAATTTATCAACCATACCAAATGTATTCACAGACCTCTGTGTCAATGACGTCACCCGAAACCTGCTGACATCTACACAAATTCATAAAACCTAAATTGAGTAACTCAACTCGTTTTCCAATGTATATTCTTAGCAATGATATGAAATAAATAAAAATTCACGTGTCATATATCTCAACAACGAACAATCTCGTACGTCTGAAGTCAACAATCGATATAACAAAGAAATTTTCAAATGAAACTGATGATTTTATTAATAAGTATGACAAATTAAATATTGGCTTTTCTTCTGATTGAAAGAACATCATGAAACACAGAAATGAAATATAAAAATACAAAATATTAGTCATATGATATTTTTTTTTTATCAAAAAAATTCTTTTCTTATTTCGTTTTAGTTGACTTTACAAATTTTCATCAGAGAAAAAGACATGAGAAGAATAAATTGACTGAACACAAAGTGACACGAACGCGAATATTCAAAACAAAGAAACAAAATCAATTANCTTTGTCTGGAACACCTTTTTTCATGATTTTAGCAATATTTGCAATTGGTAAGAATCGATCTTGTTCTCGTAAAGGACCTGTATATCTTGGTAAATTATGATGATCATTTCCGTCATCATAGGAACTATCCATTAAACTTTGTTGTTGGGATGGTCGACCGCGACCACGATACGATGATTGGTGTTGATCTTCATCATCGTCATCGTCTTCATCATCGTCGGAATATGGTCTGTCTTCTTCATTTGGATGGTAACTGTGATCGTTGGAAGTTTTGTTTTTGTTCTGATTTCCTACTGATAGACGTGGTAAAGTCGAAGGTGGCGCACGAGTACCTCGTGTACAGCGACGGGGGACTGGAGCGTCGTTCGAATTGCCTGAATCATTATCTGAATCCATGATGAAGACCGATTCGAGAAAGAAATCGACCACTGGTCAAACGAAGATTGAAATCCAATCGAAAAACAATGAATGGAGAACTTTCTCAACAAATAATGATAAAGCGACTTTTATGGATATGCATGTACATCTTGGATTTTGTCTTTACTCAACCAATTATAGTCCTCTAGCAAAGCCTCCTCTAATCTTTATTTTTATTTGTTTTCTAAAAATTTATTTTTTATTAATCAAAAGAAAAACATTATTTTTAGCAAAACTGTTTTGAAAAATTCGTTTTCAACAATAGATGTCGCTTTTAGTTCACCTATACACATGATATATATCGATATCGATCAAGTCGAGACGAACGGATAAAGAAAGAACGTGTTCGGAATGGACGAGCACTGTCGAAGGATATCACAAATGTGTTCATCTATGTATGTTTGCTATTGACATGAGTCATTTATCATAAATCTTTTAAAGAGCTCTAAAAATACAGAAAATCTAATGTTAATTGTGAGGCAGCGACATCCACCGAAGTCTTGATTGATTCTTTTTTCGTTTCTTATAATTCATTATGAATGAATTAAACAAATTTGATTTCAAAGGATAAAACGATACACATAGTGTTTATGTTTTTAATTTAAAAGATTTATTTGAAATATTTGTTACTCCCATTTAATATCGATGAGAAGTTTTCAAATTATTTAATTCATTACTTGGAAAATAATTTTCTCATCTTTTTTCTATTCATATGGATGAAAGAATAGAATAAGTAATGATACGAAATTTATTTATATATTGCAAGAAAAAGAAAATAGAAATTCGTAATCTCAAGTGAAATGTTCTCTTTATTAATCATCTTATTATGAACTATTAAAAAAAAAAGTTTTATTAGATGAAATTCAGGAAATCGTATGCAGAGTTGCTGCTCATCTTAGTCACATGTGATTTTGTTACTGCAAACAAGAATAAGTAGATTTTATTTGGACTAAATGACATCATCAACATTGACTGCAATAGTTATTCGCAAATAAACAAATTGATGATTACCTTTTTGGTATGATTAAACATTGAGGGAAAATTCCAAACGATCGTGCTGAAAGAAAATCAGATCGAAGATTTATCAAATGAAAGTATGACTGGGCAAAAATTTGTAAAGAGAAAACAATAGAAATTGAGTTTTGATACGCTTCATTTAATCTCCAAATCATTGATTGAAACATACGAAATAACTTCTGGGTTTAAATGCAGTAACGCATGATTGACAAAGTATTGGGGAATTTTTGTGTATAAAAAGAAGCGTGATCTTCGACTCTAATGTATACTTTTCACTCCAACAAATAATACCACAAGTGACTTGATGGCTGGCCATGGGAACCTCGATGGATATCTGATATCTACAAATGAAACATGGGGTGAGTCTATATCGTTACTTTATTAAATATCACATATTAAAAAGATTCTAAAAATGTTTCTAAAATCTGTTTAGACGTCACCTTGGTAAAACTGACTATGTTCGGGGTGTTCCTATCGATTATTGGTATCATTATTTGTATTCGAAAAACAGACCTGTGTGTAAGAAACAAATGATCTACAAAAAAATCTACGAACTTTTTTCTTGCATTTAAAATTTTTTCCTAATAAATATACTCAAGACGATAGGGCATACAGATTTAATATTTAGTCTCGTTGCATTGTGAATTTGTTTTGATTCGAAGATATTTTATGTTGATCATAATATTTGGTATCATACCGCCTAAGCGACACAAAGACAGTTTGGCAATTTAAGAATCTATGAAAAGTGTTTCGAGACAATTTTCCCAACAATGATACTTTCTTTTGCTATGATACGTTGTTCTTCAGTATCAACTGTCGATCGACAAAGACGTCGTCATTGAGAATATGTGGAGAATAACCTGATTATATTCTGCGCTTGTTATACTTTGCTGAGATTTTTTAGTTGATCTGATCTCTTGATGTCATAAATAATTCATATTCTATAGAAGAAGATAAACCAAGATTTTAATCGCAGCTTATCTCATCACTGAATTGAATGCAAATCTTTGAAAGTTTCATAAACGAAACAATCTCATATCGATTCTCTATTTGCTCAAGTACAATCTATTGTTCTAAAAGTACATAGTCTCTAATAGATTCATCAAAAAGTATCGATTTTCATGATGTAAAAGTAAATGAATTGTAATTAGCATACTCAGAAAATTTTCGGTTTAGTTCAGAATAAGACTCGTAAAAAGTTTGTTTTCTATCATTGAAAAGCGTATCTCTTGAATTCACCTTCTTCTGATTGCAACATCACAATTAGCAACAAATACATCTCGTTTGGGCTGAACCAAACAATCGAAATTTGATGTGATAACCATTCGTCAATGAAATGAATCGATAACGATCAGCTATGAGATAGTTCTGCATTGGAGGGAAAATACCAAACAGGTATGATGAAAAAATCAAATCGAAGGCTAACAAATGAGAGTAAACACTAGGAAAAAGTCTTTTATACAATCAATGTCATCAACATATTCGACAAGTTCAACTAGAATTTCATCAGACAAAACTTCCATAATTGTTCGATCAATTTCTTATTATTATTCGCGATGCATATGAGGTATCATAAGCAAAACTCAAATCTTTTTTCTTATCTAAGTGTAATTAAAGCAAAAAGTTGACGCAACTGGTTGGACATCTAATTATAATCATAAAAAAGATTAAATCGAAGAAATTCTGAATAATCTTTCGAGAAAAACCTCTTCACGTCTAGTTCATCGTTCTTCTTCTGTTCAAAGAATATCATAGCAAGTTGTATAACATCAATTGAGATTATGAATATTACGATATGTAAAAGAAAATGTGCTTGAAAAGAATTTCGAAATTAGTGATCAAAACGTAGCAGATAATCTTTTTCTGCGTACTTCAAATGAAGTAACGCATGATTGGCCACATAGTGGGTTTTTTCAGATGCAGCTGTACCTATAAATGCTTCTACATATACATCAACACTCTCACTCACTTGTACTAAACAATATTATGATCTTCTATCTTGGTGGCTATGTACCATCCGGTGAGGCAAAATTGGGTGAGCATAACTTTTCACTTGATCATCTCTTCCAGAGAAACTTAAACCGTCTTCTTGGATTTTTCTTAGAGACTCATTGGCCACTTTTGGTTATAACCCTAGTATTACTAATAGGTTTGGGTGTTATTTATTGCTTTGCTTTCAAGAACAAATGCAAAAAACTGATCGCAAGAAATCGACGAACTACAGATGTAGATGCTACTGATCGATCAACACATGAAAATCAAAATTCCAGTCTAAAAACAAAAGAACAGACCGCAGAATACATGCCAATGGTATGATTTCGATGAAAAGCATGTCTTTTTGGAAATTTTCGATTTTTTTGTTAATTCAGCTATCTTTTTTTTTATTTCCATTTCACACGTAATAAAATACATATGAATCGATAGCATTGCGAATCTGTATTGATGGAAGTATAAGATCATGACTTCCAGACAACACAGAAACCGTTACAATAGGTGAAAGACGCATTCGGGGCATTTTTTTTCCGTGATCGTTGCTTTGTCATATCAATTGTCGATCAAGACAAGAAAATCATTCTAAATATGTCGAACATGAAGATACCGAAGTCGGTGCTTTTCAATAGTTGACTTCAATTACTCATCTCCTCTGCTATTTTGACAATAGAAATGATTCATAATCTCGAAGAAAAGATAAATCGAGAAGATTCTTAATGTGTTGAATTAGTGGGAATTTTCATCCCTTTGTCTTTTCACCGATATTCAACATATCCGACAAATATGTGCAATCACACAAACATTTCAAATGCAACTTACCATTCCAAAGGCAGAATGTTACAAGCAGATTCATGTGAGAAGCATGTATTTTCATGTTTGTAGACCAATAAGTTGTTAGAAGCTCCGAAAAGCATTTGGTTTAGCTGAAAATGTATCTCAGACAACGTCTGTTTGTTAGTATTACACAACAAATACTACTGATGAGTCAGTCATATCTCTCGGACAGGATTTTTCCGACTTTGTCACTACATTTAGCAATAAATAAATCCTATTCCGATTGAATGATGATGAGTGAATCGAACGATAACGATTAGTTTCTCAATGACTCAGCATCAACGGAAAATTCCGAGCAATGATGAAAGTAAAATTTATCGAAGGCTAAACAAATGAGAATACCAGAGATGTAGAATCTTCTTTGTGTGCGCTCACGAGGCAAGGAAAATTCTTAGTTTCACATTTTACCCAATTGAAGAATTTCCCTATTTGTTGAAAGATTCCCCGTTTCTATCTATAAGACACTGCTACTTTTTTGTATTCATATCAACTAGGCTTACAGAACATCAATGATTTCATGCAAGTCACATTATGAGCAAGTACTTTAACATCTACATGGCATCCGGTGAGGCGATATGGGGTAAGCACAATTCTTCACTTGATCATCTCTTATAGAGAAACTTAAAACATGTTCTTGAATTGTTTTTAGAGACTCTTTGGCCATTTCTGATTACAGCTGCAGTGTTACTAGTAGCTATGGGTATCATCTATTTGTTTGTCTGTAAAGATAAATACAGAACACTCATCGAAAGAAGGAGACTAACTGTCGTTGTTAATGATTCTGTTTTATCAGAAAGTCAACACTTATCTCCAAAAATAAACGAACATCCAATAGAACCTGTGCTATCGATTGTAGTTCAATGAAAAACAAACCACCGTTCTCCCTTTTTCAAATCAAACCATTTATTCCACAGTCAGTTTTGCAATTTAATATGAAGGAAATGTACGAAACCGGCGGCTCATCGTTACGTTTCATTGAATAAAAAATATGTATTCGAAGCCAATGTTTTCTTCTCGTTTCTGCATGTTTACTAAGTTTTCATCTTTTCTTTTTATTGATTCAAAGTAATAAAAAAACAACAATTTGTTATTTGATGACTAGCTGAGTTGTTGACGAATAGAGATCGAAAACATTACTAATCTTTCGAAAAATTGTCTATCCACAAGATTGTTCGAGTTTTTTCGCACGTTGTTTATATTGATCTGCTTGTTCATTGAATTGTTTCGCTTGTTCTCGAAAGTATTCTTCAATTTGTAACCATAATCTTTCCAAGAGATCATCTTCTTCATCAAACATCAACAATTTATCGGAAAATTCCTTCGTCCATTTTGTATTATTGTCGATTGACGTACAAAACATGAATATCATAGAAATATTCGATAGATCATAAACTTCTGGTACAAGTTTCAAAGCCAAACTTCCAGAAACAACAAGAATAATCGTTTCACTCAAATGAGATTTGATATAATCAATACATAAATTAATATCATGGAATGTTTGAAGATTTTCATGAACATTTAATTTGGAATAAAAACTGCTCATTGATTCGTTCGAACATGTTTCAACCAAAATGACCTTTGGAGTCGATATAAACATTCGAATAACTAAAAAAGAACACGATGAGCATATGCTATCGACGAGACCACGTGGTTTTTATAGTTTTTATCCGCTTTTACGTGAATCACTATGTTTACCTGTGTTAACGATAACAGAATGAATAGAATTGACGTAGGTGTGATTGTCGAATTGATAACGTTTGATTTAATGAATGAGAAATGATTCAGAGCTTTTCAATGAGTTTACATGAGAGTATTTAGGAATATTCCCATGGAATACTTTAAAGTGCAATTCGAAACATGACACCAACTGTTACTAACTAACGCACAAGTACTTAAAATCGTCTTCTGGTACTGTAATGAATAGATTTTCTTTCGTATTTACAAAGAATCTATAGAAAATCGAAGAACTACGATACAGGTAAAACGATCGTGATGAAACAAAAACGAATATACCAAGTACAAATTCAATTAAATCTTCTGTATAAACCTATAAACATCTTATTTGACAGTACTGTGCCACTTCAAGATTATTTCGGATATAAATCAAACTAGATGCCAATTGATTCTGCAAAACACCCAATGGAGAGCCGAGATTTTTTTCAACAATTCATGTGTGAATATTGAAATGAGAATATTTTTGTCGTGGTAACGTCTATGAGTTACGATCGTGGAGTTGTTTCTATTTGAAATGTTTAGATAATTATAAAAAAAGAAATACAATGAGCGAAATACGTTCTTTTTCAAACTTGATGAAGTTTTGAACTTGTAACTAATCTGATGAAATGTGTGTAAATCTACTCTGAATATATCACATGTGCATAAAATGTCTTTGGAATTGTTTCTACCATTGTTTTGATATATTGACGCGTTTTTCTGCGAACAAATCGATCAATTTCGGCGAAGTATTTCTTCTTTTTACAATTCTTTTGTTCAAATCTCGTCGTATGTCCACGAACTTGTATAACATCGATCGCATTTTCCCCGTAATTTTGTTTATATCGCTGAAGAATTTCACAAAACTTGGAATATCTTTTCATATCTTCGCTTTTCTGTCGTTGAAAAAGTTGTTTCACTTTGGAATTGTCCGTATAGATACGAAGTTTTGCAAATCGATATTTTAACGCATATTCGATCGCTAAATATGAAGCAAACACTTCCATCTCTGTACTTCCGTATATCGGAGAAAGAAAACGATATCGATAAGTTCCAAACGATGTTCGAAAGCCTGAATAACCGATTTTAAATAAATGAGAATAACTTCCATCGCAGAAACAAACCAATTCTCGTTCTTCAGTCGACGTAGGTTTCTGCTCGATGGAAGTTTCAGTTGTCTTAACAATCGGTGAGAAATCAATATTGACATCGATGGTATTCCCATTATTCAAAGATTTCAGTATGGAAAATAAATATAAATAATCATTCCATATTGTTCGATGATTGACAACTGGTAAACTGAAAACCCGTGTATTCATAGAATTATGCAGAATACGACAGAATCGAATCAAATTGAAAATCGTGATGAGAAAGACAATATTGAAGAATTCCAAGTCTTGAATACATTGTGATCTTTCATTGGAGAGACTTAAAATGGCATTGGAAGTTCTTTGAAATGTGAGAGAGACCTTCAAAATCACCGAGATTTGAGTTTTAGTGTTTTTCTCATCATTGAACACTACCAAAGCCTTTTTCAAACGACCATCAATTGAAATTGTATTTATCACTGGTCGTTCATTTCGACGTTGTTTTCGTTTGTAAAAATATAAAATTCCAACGAAACTAATGGAAATTAACGAAAGGATGAAGACAACCAGGTACTCGTTAACGTTGCATTCATATCCATTTTCGAATTCGCAGTCTTCTATGGTTATCAATTTAAAACCCATCCACGTCAGATCGTTAAAAACATGAAAATACTTCACTATTGTTGATTTAGCACTACACTTTATCAGAGAAGAATGCGATTTGTGTTGATTTTCGAGAGATTGAGGGAAAAAGAATAGAGTTGTAACTTTTACGGTTTTTAACCATTTGTCAGCAAAAAAATGCAAAATACGAATAAAATCAGACATAAATAGGACATTTTTCCTTTCCTCCTTCCATTTATTTAATCCAAAAAAACCTCGAGCACTTCCTTCAGAAATTCCTTTTAACAATCAGAAACTTCAACAGTAGACTCTCCTCTACTCAAAAAAAGCTGTTTCCATCAAATTACTCTCCCTGGTTCAGTATATTCTCTCAACATAACAAATCTTTTCAAACAAAGCAGATTCTTCATCAATGTTAACTTTTTGAAGAACGACTTGTTTTTCTTTCTAAACAAGTACAACCCACTAAATAAAAGAACTTCTATCAGAAGTTCGACAGCAGCATTTTATCACGTGAGATATACGCCAGTCAAGTCTTTCGAAGAAACCTATGCGAAAGTACATAATCAAATTCACAATTCCAATGCTGAAGTCGATCGGATCATTCGACTTAGCTATGAATCTCTGGTCGCCAGAAGGTTCCATATCATCCGAATTTATGTTTATCAAACGAAATTAAGCAAAAAAATCATCTAACAAGATTTTTCTGGCATTTAACAAGTTGAATATTTGAATCGATCATAATCATTTGAATTTTGAATTGTTTTAATTCCATTACAATAAAGATATAATTCTTCATACGGATAAATTCGTCTATGAATCGCTAAATGTCCGAATGAACTTTTGGAAATGACCGCTAAATGACAAAAACTCAACGCATGGAAATCCAAAATGGTTTTTTCTAAACTTTCACAAGCTAAATAATTCCAATCTCGATCGATATGTGCAATCGTTCCATTAATTTCGATTAATCGCGAATTTTCCTGCGGATTTTTCGTTGAAAACAATTGTCGCGCTAATTGTTGAACTTCACCTGAATCTGTGGTGATAAAAACTCGACCCGGACGAGATCGAAGAAAGTTCAAAACAGTTACATTCATTTTCTCACGATGAGGAAAGACAACATCTTTGAGATTTGATGGATTCCGACCAATGCGAATGTGTCCACATAACAACGCACCTTGATCGGAGTTCGTTAAGTTCAATCGATCGAGTTTGCCTTGTAGATTCGGTTGTAATTTGATGAGTAAATCGTACAAAAGAGGATATAATGTTATGATTTGAATATGTTCGCGTTTGATTCGAAATCGAGTGAATAAAACTTCATAAAATAAGAAATATTTTGATAATAGATCGAAATACGCGATGTTTTTTGTTTGAATATAAAGAACAGAATATTGTTGATGATAAGATTCCAATAGATGATAATCAGTTGATGCTAAAGATGTTATATTGATCGCAGAAGAAAGATTTTTTACCTGAAGATGTGATGAGATTGACCAGGAGATGAGATTCGAGGTTAAATATTGTTCAATGGAACATGGCCATGTCATATCGAGAAGAAATGTGCGATTTAAAGCGAGAGAAAGAAGAAATGCGGCAACGATTTTACGAGTTCGATCACCCCAACCTAAAAAATGTTTGTGAAAGGAAATATTCGTGTTTTGTATCGTAACCTCCACACATAAATGGACAAGAATAAACAAGATATTTGTTATTTGGAGATTTGTTTTCGTATTTTGCATTGGATTCATTGATGATTCTCCAAATATTGATCTCATACGGACTTCGAAGATATTTCGAAAATATTTCACTGGATTTCTCGAGAAATCGATTTTGAAGTTTATCGAAATCTTCCGAAATTATCGTTATTTCATTTGGATAAGACGAGAGTTCAAGAAATTGATAATAATAATACAACAATATGATAAAAATCATCAGAAAGAAAGAAGATTTCCGGCGACGTCGAGGATAAAACGTATAACAAATCGACCGATAAAGACTCATCGAGACAAAAAAAAATTCAATCGAATTGAGAAATCAAATCCGCGTGTCTCTTTCTGTTCTCCTTCACAAAATGTTAACTGAAGGAAAAAGAAAAGAATCGATGCTGACTGACTGAAAGAAGAAATAATCACATATCATATTAGTTGAGAATATGGACAAGAAAATCAACAGAACAGAAGGAGAAAAATGATTATGAAAGAGAAATTTTTCTCTCGTCTATCATTTGTGGGTCGGCGACAAAAGAGAACTGTCGGAACAGATGTTGATTAATACGTTACGCTTATTTATACAAGGCAATTACACATGATATTTTCATTCTTTATGGAACTAAACTATTTTATTTTGAAGATATGTTTTCAACGATGAAGAATACCGATTTTCTTGTTGAAATGATCAAGTTATCGAGAATACAGGTTGATCATTGTGATCATATTCAGTCAATTCAAGTTCACTTCCCGAATCGTCCATGGGAAATGAATGTATCATGTTTGTTGTTGGTTGATTTAGATCAGATATATCTTCTGAACATTGTGTAAGGTAAATCTCTGTCATTGCACCATCTTGTTTAACAACTGATGTGATTATAAAAGGAATGTAACGTAAAATCAGAATTTCGTCTTCATCTACCATATGAGATAAGTTTCCAATATTGAGTGCTGAACGTCGATTCGTATCATTGAGATTGAAGATCCAAAGAACTGCTAAGGATATATCAGGAGCACCAAGAACAAATGGTTGAACGACATCTTTGCTAATACTAGTTGAGAGTAATGTTGTTGTTAGAATCTTATTATTCTTCTGATACGCATCGATAAACTCTCTTTCTGGAAGACATGCACCACGATAAACTGTTATATTAGTAATTACATATGGATCTAAGTCAGGATGAGTCAAAAGAATACTGAAAGCATCGATATATTCTTGTGTTCGACTTAAAATTGGACAATTCTGAACTGTACAATACAGTTGGAGGAAATGATGTGCATTTGCAGCGAAATGAGCGTTTAAGCACGTTGAAAACATTTGTGATGCGGTGTAAGCGCGAATAACAAGTTTTACATCGTCTTTTTCACGAGCTTCTTTGAATGCTTTTTGAATTCTAGTCCAAACAGGATCTTTCGGCAAATTTTTGAAAAACGTTTCATCAATAATTTGTAAGTAACCGACTATACTGGAACCTTTTTCCAATTTTTTCAGGTTTTTGTGGAATCGTTCAGTGATTTCGATGATTCGGCGACGTTCATTAACTTTTAAATGCCGGTGAGACAAACTTCTTTTGCCGTGTTCACGTAAAATATCGTGTAAATCACAATTTCCGTCCCCATAGATTTTCTTCCGTAAATGTTCTCCAATCGTATCTTTTTTGTCTTCCGACTTCGGATAAAATACCGAACTCCATGATATTTTCGCACACTTTTGCCGTACAGCATCGAATCCAATCGACAGATATTTCCAAACGAGCAAAATCCAATTCCATACAGCCATTTTATGTCTTTATCGACTTGGAATTTTCCAATAGTGTTAACACATACGTATGAATATTTTTTGGTTTCTTGTTTTTACAGTTGAGTATGCAACCAAATGTGATTGATTTTCACTTTTGATATAAAAAATGACTATAAATGTATTTTTGTCTTCGCTGTGTGGTTGCGTCTTGCGTGACGATTGTATCATACTATTACTTCCTCGTTTTCGAAAACAACACGAGGGAAACGCGTTTATCATTCAATCGAGTCTCTTTTGTTTTTGCGCATTTAAATCGTCGGGGTGATGTTTGAGTAATCATCGAGTTTCTCCTTCTCATTTCGCTATAGTAAACTGTAATGGATTTTTGTGCTTCAAATCCTTTGAAATGTCTTAACAACGGTACTTGTATCATGAATTATACATTGAATATCACTTATTGTGTGTGCGATCAATGTCATGAAGGAGATTTTTGTCAAGATCTACGCAGGGAAAACTATTATGACACAAAATACATCAATTTCATCATGTATATCGTTGCATTTGGTATCTCAGTATTGAACAACACAATGTGTCTCGAATTATTTATCAGATGTCGATTGATACGGCGAACAAACAGTGGAGTTTATCTCATCATCTATTCAAGTCTTTGTCTGTTGGGTAGTATTCTGCTTGTCATGGAAGGTTATGTAGATTATGATAGAAGCACACGCGTATTTCGAAATGATCCACATGCTCGGCAAAGATTTCATTGCATTGTTGGTGTCACAGGTTATGGTTCAACGAGTTTTCTGTGTATATGGTTTAGTGCAATGGTTCAACTCGAACGTGGTTTACTTTTATTTTTCGGTGCAACAACAAATTTTTCTCGAAAACGATCGATAATCATTTCTGTACTTTTATTGGTTATGGCAATAGGTTGTTCATTACCACTTATCGTTTACAACTGTGAGTGGGATGGTAATCGACCTATTAAAACTTTACGAGTTGTTCTCATGTACTTTCATATTTGTATACCGGTTCTCATCTATCTGATTGCTACCATTTTGACTTTCATTGGTTTCGCTCGTCGAATAGACGCTTATGGATTAGAAAAGCGCTCTAAACCAAGATTATTCATGAAACTGACACAAACACATTTCTTTATTTTTATTCCACCTGTCGTTTATTCTATTTGCTACGGACTCTTCAATCTAGTGGCGAAATACAGTGATCCTGATAAAGGTTATTTCGCTTGTGGGATCTCAACTCCAGAATATGTCGTAAAAATTTTATTACGAGGTCTCACGGGTCTTCCGTTTACTATCACTTGGTTGCTTTTTGTGTATCCATCGCGAGTTTACATGAGTGAGTTTTACATGGACACGTGGTGTGGACAATGGACAGCATATATCATACTGCGCTTTCGCCGGTGTTTTTCGAAGAAGAAGGACGAGCCGAGGCCCAACGAACCATCAGATGACGCTGGATATAACAGTATCAGTGATCAGCCTTTACTTCGTGACTCCTCATCGTCTGCGTAATATATTTCATACATATTTATTTACTTGTGCGTTATTTATGGTCTTTATCCGTTTTTTTTTCTCATGGTAGAGGTTCTCTCCAGCTTTGAAATAAACAGTTACATATTTTACTTGTTGACCTAATCCAAGGAAAAAAAGCAGATCCTGGATGCCCGATCCTACATACCTTTTGGATCCTAATAGTTGCTTATGGATCCTGCCAGATCCTTATCAATCCCTGTGGATTCTAGGACCTATGAGGATCCGCTTTTCCCCCTTGCAGAGAACAATATACGAATAGATGTAAGAAATTGAACGAACATAAAATTAGAGTAATAAATGAATGTAATCAACATAGAAAGAACAATATGAAGGACAAAGTTCCCGTGAAAATTAATGAACAAATGAATAGAAATGTGCTATCGATAGAAGTATTTAGAAAAAATTTTGGTCAATGTAAGCATGTGTTGGATGTAAACGAGACAAAGAATCCTTAAATGATCGTCTGATAGGTCAGCATCATCATCATCATTCTAGTGAATTAATTATGATCAACTGAACATTGGAATATTATGAATATCTATCATCGATTTGAACAAACTTTATTTTCATCTATAATCTGACACGAAGGAGAGAAATAATTCAGAAGGACGTGTAATGCTTCGCTATGGACTGTATTTATATCATTAACCACTGACTATGTACATCTAATCAGATGTATCCAATGACAGCTGTACAATCAAAGAATTCGTTGTACTTCCCAGGTCGAACAATCCGGTCCGAAACTGGCATGATCCAGAACATTACGGCGATTTCGTGACCCAGGATTCCAGGCCGGACCAAATCCGTTCGTTTCCGATCGTATCCGAACGTAAAATCTTGGAAATGTCGTCTTCTTTTCTCCGTAAGGACAAAAGTAAGCAAGAGAATGGTTTCCATATGAAAATCAACTTATTTGCTCTGCTGCTTCCACTTTTGTAATGATATCATCAATGGTCAAGTGCACTTGGCAAAAATGTTCAATTTCAAGTTGATTATTGACAAGGTGAAGCCGTTGGTTTAGCTGCTCAATTACATTTATTGAAACTTGTAATTGATCTGAGTAGTTTCTACGAAGACTTCTTGTCACGGCGAGAATATGATGTTGATGAGAATTCGCTCCCGATGGTACCTAGGACGATGGTTCCTGAAGCAGGATTCTATGAATTTCCGACAAAATCCCTGAGGAAACACGCCATGTCTGAGCGGAAAATGCCAGGAATCCGACGGAGAAATGCGGTAACCGTTTGCGGCTACCGTTTTCGACATTTTCCTGTTGGTTCCGGCCCAAACCAGATAAATGTGACCACCGGATCCGCTCATCTGGAATACTGCTTCCATGAAATCTCCGGAATACCCTGGAAGCGATCATTTCCGTGCCGGATTGCTTGGCCTGGGATGTGAATGAAAATGGCAAATCGAAATTAAGAGAAATTTATAAATCTCAAATGATATTTGTCGATAAGCACCAACAGCAAGATAAATGTGAATATTTATCGAAATTATTTAATGAATTCATCGACTCATTAATGCATGATTTTCATCCAACAAAAAGATCAATTTATGATCAACAAATTGATATTTTATTTTATCTAAGAAAGTCAAGAATGATTTTGGAAAGTGGAAGAACGATTGGACAAATTCTTTTCTTGATGGCGAACTGTGTGACAAAGCATTTCGTGAACTTATTCACTCTGTAGAATCTGGATTTCAAACCATGTCGATAATATTCAAATAAGTCTCGGTAATGGTTATTCGAATTACAAAGTCGATATCTATTTTTCTTATATGTACTTAGACTCAAACAGCTGGAATTTGTGAGAGAATGAACAAAATTGAAAAGAAAAATGAACAATTACAAACCGATCTGCAAGATTTAATATCAAAGGGAGCAGCAAAGATGTGAAAAAGAACGACAAATTGAAAGATAACTTTTAATACGAGATTTACTCAATTTTAGTCGACAGAGACTTTTCGAAGAACTCGACAATCGTCGGATATCGAGAAAACAAAGGAAGGTTCTTTATAATGGTGGTATAGATATAACACAATTGTCAATCAGATATTCAATTGTATATGAAGCTCTCAATGTTATTGGTTTCGAATTTGGACTCACTGATTCGCAATTCTTAATGTTATTGCGAGAAAAACAACGAGGTAATCAAGCATTTCATCTCGATTACGGAATTAAAAAGTACGCTCGGATGCACAAGACCACGAGAATTTACGATCTGAACGATTTTCGTAAGAAACAATCCATGTATGAATTGGACCAACAAAACTTGTTATTATTACAACCAATCTTCTGGAAAGTTTGTCGAATTATCAACAAACAATAATAAAAACAAAAATATTGTAGAATAAAATGTTAATATTTTAATTAAACAAATAAAAGGAGATTTTTAAAGATATTTGACAAACTTTTTTTTTTCTAGTTAAGTATCACGTTTAAATCATTGAATGTCTATCTTATACTCTTCCAGAAAGTGCTGGTGACCGTTTCATATATTTTGAAAACCAGCTGGTCACCAGTTCTGTAACAAAGCTTAGTATCAGTAAAGATCTACTAGTATTAAAGTTCTCCAATAATTCATAATCTCAAAGAAAAGATGAATCAAAAAGATTTTTAACATATGGACAAGTTGGGATTTGTTAGCGTTTGTGATGAATCATACAACGCTAGACTAAAAATTAAGATGGTCCTTCTAGTCTAACTGGATTAGTACATCTGCCCGGACAGCAAAAGGTGTGGGTTCGAGTCCCACGAAGGTAACTTTTTCTCGATTCTTCTCGCTTTCGCTGATGTCCCTATAGTTTGAGCTAAAAGGATTTTCATCACTTCGTCATTTCGTGTTTGCAAAACAATGAGTTGTCGGAAACTTGCAAAAGCATTTAGCTCACTTCAGTGTAACTCAGACAACGTCTGTTCCTTAGCATTACACAACAAGTATTGCTGATGAATCAGTCAGATCTCTCGAACGCAATTTTTCTTAGGCCCGTCACTTCAATCAGTAATAAATACACTCTATTCAAACATCGATGACGTCACGATTATTCACTGACATAGTCATCCATGAGTAACTCAATCGACAACGATTAGTCTCCGAATAACTAGACATAGATGGAAAACTCCGAGCGATGAGAAGAAAAGCAAAATTTATCGAAGATTAAACAAATGAGAATACGAGACGTGCAGAGACCCTTCCACGTATGCTCATACGCGAAAAGGAAAATGTTTTGGAAAATTCCTAGTATCACACTTTACCAAACTGAAGAATTTTCCTGTGTGCCAGAAGATTCTACACTTCTATCCATAAAATACTAAGTAGACTTACAGAATATCAATCATTTCATTTCATCCGAGTGACATTATGGTGAAGTACTTCGGCGTCTATATACCACTCGGTGAGGCAACATGGGGTAAGCATAACTCTTCACTTGATCATCTCTTTCAGAAAAACTTAACACGTGTTTTTGAAATTTTCTTAGAGAATCTGTGGCCACTACTGGTTACAGCTACGGTGTTACTAGTGGCTGTGGGTATCATCTGTTACCTTGTCTATCGGAATACCTGTAAAACACTCATAAAAAGAGAGCGACTAGCTGCGGCTATTGGTGATTCTGATTGATCAGAAATTCAACACTTATCTCCGAAAATAAAAGAAGATTCAACAGAATTTGTACTATCGATTATAGTTCAATAAAAAAAACACCATTCTCCTTTTTCTTTGGTTTAATTGTTAACGGCAACAGCACCTTGTAAATTTATCTTGTTTTTATAACATTATCTTCTCATTAAAATATAAGATACAATCATTTGAACGGAAGAGACAGTTTTGCAATTTAATGTGAAGGACATGTACGAAACCAGTTACTTATCGTTACATTCCATTCGATGAAAAACATCTATTTGACGGAAATTTCCGACAAGATACTATGTGAGCTTCATTATGCAATATATCCTTGTCACGTCTACTTGTTTATTAGATTTTCCTTTTATTTTATTGATTTAAAGTAACAGCGATGCGTCATTTGTCATTTGATGACTTACCTATTTGAACAGTGCGAGTAGAGATCTTTCGGATAGTTATTTATCCACACGAATGTTCCAGTTTTTTCGCACGTTGTTTATATTGATCTGCTTGTTCACTAAATTGTTTGGCTTGTTTTCGAAAGTATTCTTCGATTTGTAACCATAATCTCTTCAAGAGATCATCTTCTTCACCAAACATCAGCAATTTATCGGAAAATTCCTTTGTCCATTTTGTATCATTGTCGATTGACGTACAAAACATGAGTATCATAGAAATACTCGATAGACCATAAACTTCTGGTACAAGTTTCAAAGCCAAACTTGCAGAAACAACAAGAATAATCGTTTCACTAGAATGAGATTTGATATAATCAATGCATAAATTAATATCATGGAATGTTTGCAGATTTTCATGATGAACATTTAATTTGGAATAAAAACTGCTCGTTAATTCGTTCGAACATCTAGAAAAGAACAAGAGTAACATATGTTACTGATAAAACCACGTGACTTTTCTAGTTCTATTCTGACAGTCTGTAATTCGTTTGCCTACTTGTTTTATGGCAATAGAATGATTATCAATACTCACACAAGAATCATCCTTTGAAATAAGCCTTGTCTTTTTTTTTCATTTAACATATTTATCACTAATAGCACACAATTATTCATGGAACTTCTCAATATGCGGTAGTATACGAGAACATTCAAATACATTCGATTGAATACTTCTAAGGACAATTCCAAACACGATATTCACTGTTATTCATACACAAAATGCATAAAACACTCTTTGATTATCGTAGTGAATAGATTTCTTTTATATTTTCAAAAACTCGTAAGGAATCGAAGAACTGCGATACATCTAAAATGTTTTCAATGAAGCAAAACAATTTACAAGGTGAAGATTTGATCAAACCCTCTGTTAACCTAAAAAACAAATATCTTATTTAACAGTAATGTGATCCTTTACGATTTTTAGAATAAAAATCATACTAGCTGCTAATAAGCACCCAGAGTGACTTCAATTGGTTTTGTAAAACATCTAATCGGAAGACGAGATTGTTTCATAAATATATTCTGAATGATTCATACGTGAATATTGAAACGAGAATCTTTACGTCCTGGTAACATCTATGAGTTACGATTATGGGGTTGTTTCTATTTGGAATGCTCTGACAATTATTCAAGAAAAATACAATAAATAAAATACGTTTTTCTCACGCAGGATATAGTTTTAAACTCGTAAAATGAACCAGGAAACGAAATGATCTAGTAAGTTCTGTAAAAGTCGACCGGGAATATGTTATATACATAAAATGTCTTTTTGATTTGTTTCCGCCACCTTCGGATGTGTCGACGCGTTTTCTTTCGAACAAATCGATCGATTCTGCCGAATTCTCTTTTGATTTTATAATTCTTTTGTTCAAATCTCGTCGTGTGCCCACGAACTTGTATAACATCAATCGCATCTTCTCCGTAATTTTGTTTATACAACTGAAGAATTTGACAAAAGTCCGCATATCTTGTCACATATTTGTTTGTCTGTCGCTGAAAAAGTTATTTTAGTTTGGAATTGTCCGTGTAGATACAAAGTTCTGTAAATCGATATTGAAACGCATATTCGATCGCTAAATATGAAGCAAGAACTTCCATCTCTGTCCTTCTATATATTGGATAAACAGAACGATACTGACAAGTTCCAGAAATTGTTCGAAAAGCTGAATAACCGAATTTGGATGAATAAGAATCACTTCCATCGCAGAAACAAACTAATTTTCGTTTTTCACTCGACGCAGGTTTCTGCTTGATGGAAGTTCCAGTTGTCTTGATAATCGGTGAGAAATTAGTATCCACATCGATGATACTTTCGATTTCGAAACATTTCCATATTGAAAATAGAGAGAAAAAAAATCATCTAACGTTATTCGATGGATGACAACAGGTAAATTGAAAACCTGTGTATTAGTAAAATTTTTTGCCAAATCCAAAGGGATCGAATCAAATTGAAAATACTGACGAGAAAGACAATATTGAAGCATTTTAAGTCTTTCATAGTTTGTGGTTGTTCATTCGAGAGACTGAAAATGTCATAGAGAGTTCTTTGAAGTCTGAGGAAAATGTTCGGAATCATCGAGGTTTGAGTTTTACTGTTTTTCTCTTTATTGAACACCACCAACGCCTTTTCCAAAGGATTATCAATCAAGGTTGTATTTACCGCTGGTTTTTCATTTCGACGTCGTTTTCGTGTGTAAAAATAGAAAATATCGCAATAACTAATGAAAAATAATGCAAGGACGAAAGCAATTGGTCAAATATTAACTGTGCATTCATATCCATTTTCACATTCGCCGTCTTGTATCGTTATCAATTT